GATGGAATGCTATGCCGTCTTAACGGAATGTAGCGATGGTGAACAGTTTTTTTTTACTTTTTTATGGCACGGTTCTGCAGTTTGCAAATATTCAATTTCCAAATTGTGCAGCCAGCTCTTTTCACTTCTTTTTGTTGAAAAATCTGGGAGACAAATTGTACAGCTTTTTCTGGAGACCACAGCAAGCGACCTCAGAAAAACCATTGCCGATGAGCGATAAAGATTTTGGTTGCATACAATACTTATCTGGCTAGATTGAACACAAATTTTTGAAAAAGCAAGAAACAGCTCAAAATATGACATTAACCAGACTTTAATTAGGTTACTGGAGAGCTTCATTGAAGAACGGTCTGTGTCCCAAATACTGATAAAACCAAGAGGGGGTTTGATAAGAGCTAAAAATAAAATTGAGAAATTCTTTACTCAAGCAGGGACAGAATATTTTTCGCAGATACAGACTTTGCCATTCTTCAACCTTCCTCTGAAATTAGCATCAATTTCACGATATTTTAATAACATATGAATAAAAACGCTTCTCTTCCTTTTACTCCATATTTATTAAACGCACAGCTAGCTCAAGGCATGTTAATAACATAGCATACTTGATAACCTGATGATAAGTTTAAATTATAATGTTAAAACGACACGGAATTTAAAAATTTGAACTCTACCGAGCAAAAGTTATGCACTCATTTGACCACGTGATATCGTTAAAATGAAACAAAAAGTTAGAACAATGGGCTTCCAGACCAGAGATTTTTTCTGACTATGTTTTATCATCACGAAGGATGCGACCATCTTCAACCAAAACAATTTTTCCTTTGTATTTACTGTTCCTTTCGAAAAGATTTGTTTGAAAGTCTTGCATTTGAAAGTCAAGATTTGCATAGAAATCTTTCTTGCCTGTTTATTCATCTTTACAACGAGGTCTCTCTGAAATTTGTAAATCCTAATGTCTCTACCTATTCCTGTCCTATTAGCAATGGTTTTAAGTCTGGTCCTAATTTATGGTCAAACTTTCTTTAAAAAACATCCATACAGCGGCTACCTCCAATCAACGGCCAAACGGCCACTTGAGAGTGCCCCATTGCCTAATTGTACAATTAACGGTCAAGCAGGTAATATGTTGCAAAGAAAGGAAATAAAAATTAAAAGGAGTCAAGATTTCTGAAGACCATTTGCTATTCTCAGCCTTTTCGTATCATTTTCAGCCTCCCAATAGTGGTCACTTCTAAAACGACCTCTTAATCATCATTGCTTTCAGGTCCACTCTGACCCGGAGTGGTAGCACCTGAAAGGGTCCCTAGTATAGGGCAACATACAGCTGGACGTCGGCAGCAGGCGTTGGTTTGGTTTTGTCTGAGCGGAGGAACTCGACAGAGTCAACGGTTGGAACTAACTGGTGGTTAGGTGGAAGATTAATTTCAACTACAATCTGGACGCACATACCATAGTATATGGTACTGTGCTAAATGGAGAGGAGATTGGCGCCACCGTTTAGTATTAAGCCTCGGTAACTCCCATGAAATGTCTTATAAAAACCACAATTCCATACTGGATCGATCGAGGCCCAGGACAAAAAACGACTGCGTTGTTTCTTCTTGTGATTAGAAGCTTGAGATGCTTGTGATTAATTAATTAATTGAAATGTCCTAGGCATTGCAGAATTGCGATGGACTGGTATTGGTGAAACAACCACTTCCGATGGCCACAAGCTGTGGTACAGCGGAGACGAGGAAACACATACATGACGTCGGCATCCTAGTCAAGAAAGAAGCAGCAAAGTCAGTCATCGACTGCACGAAAGTTTCCAATATATTAATGACGATCAGAATAATGAACGAGCCTCGAAACTTGTCTATAATACAGGAGTACGCGCCAACAGCGGATAGTGATGAAGAAGACATTGAGCAGTTCTATGAGGACCTGGAAAAACTAGTGAAGGACAAACCAAAAAATGATACCCTCATTATCTAAAGGGATTTCAATGCTAAGATTGGCTACATGGAGAAAGAAAACTGGCAAGGTATGATTGGTGACCATGTTGTAGGCACTACTAATGAGAGAGCCCTGCGGGTTGTGGCATTTGCAAAACAATATTATCTTGTTTTTGCAAATATTCTTCATAACCATAAACTATTCAGAAGAACTTCCTGGAACTCACCTGCAGTAGCATACACAGTCAGATCGACTACACACTACATCTTAGTCGACAGAAGAGTGAAGTCTGGTATAAACAGACTAAAGACCAGAGTCTTTAAATAACCAAGCATTGGAAGTGACCACGATCCGGTTATGATAACATTCAAACTATAACTAGCTGAATACAAAAAAAATTGCAAGGCGTGTAAAAATTGATTTGCACAAGCTCAAGGACGAAAACATAACAGACAAATGTAATGGTGAACTTGCAGGAAGATTCGCTCAACTCTTGCTTTTGGAAGATAACCAACAGATCTGTTACATCTGTAACGAATTTACTACCATCACAGTAGAAACAGCAAAAACACAATTGGAATTAGAAAGAAAACCAAAAAACCATGGGGACAAAAGAGATTATAGAAAATTCGACGAAAGAAGACACTCTGACACAAAACATGACAAGCGAAGCGGAAGTCAAGAGAAGAATTGGAAGTGCATCAAGTACTCTGGCTAGAATTGGCAACATCTGGAAAGCAAGGAAGCTTAACAAACATCAGAAGTAAGATAAGTAAGATTAATGAATACCATTGTGACAAGCATCCTCAATATGTTTGTTAAATTTGGACAGTCACAGGGCCGGCCATGACGCCTCCACCTTTCTGCAGAGCAAAATGATTTTTTTAGGCAAAGTGGAAAGAAATCTAGTCTACAATTCTGTAAGTAACTGTGTATAGTAATTTCTTGGATATGACCTAAGCTTCGGCTTGGTAACTATGTATTTACCAAAGAAGACATAAAGAATATTCAAGATGGGAATTTGGTCAAAATAATTAGTAATTTTCCAAGTTGTACAGCAAGTAATAGCTTGACTAAGGAAATAAATCGAGAATCCTGGTTCAGGATAACTTGGTGCCGGCACCAAAAATGTGGTCTTGTCTTTCCTATGGCCTGACCCTGGCTCCAAAGGTCTATTTGTTGACAGAAAGTTTCTCAAAAACGTTACAAAAGAGAGAAATCAGCTGTTGAAGGAAAAGAAACTGCTGGAAAGAAAACTTTTGAATTTTTGAGAATATGAGAAATGAAGAATCAGCTGATCGCTTGATTACGAGCTACAATAAAAAGGTTGTTCCAAAAATTTACAAGACCTTTCCTATTACATGTCAACATTACAATAGAAGACGCATTGATAAAAGAAATATTTCCTCTCATGTTCCTTCAGTAAAATCCATCTGAGAAAGAGTTTCTATGAACTATGAACGTGGCCTATTTCGATGAACAACTGGGTATAAATATTTCCTAGCGTAAAGTTTTCGATCTATGTTCTGACGTTTTAAACTCTGAAGAATGTCAGACAAAAAGCTTTAGTTTACTCGAATGTTTGCTTTATTCAAAGCCATTTTAAAGACAATTAAATACATTAAGTTCTATCAAAATTATGATTTATTGTTGAATTTTGGTTTATCATATTGTATTATATTGGATTGCTTTTCATCGTTTGTGCTGTTCGTACCTACCATTCATGCCTGTAGCTTTAGCTCTTGATTTCCTCAGTAACATTCCACACTCATCTTATCTGTATTAGCGCAGTAATACTCTTTGTGACCAATTAATACTTCCAATGTAGGTTGGCAAAAGCAATAAACAGTCCCGTTTTAGTTTAAGTACCACGACAGTCCCTTTTTAAAGTTTTGATGTGCATTTGCATGCTAAAATGCATCTCCAATGTCAAAGGATGATTTGGCTTTGCCCATTTTTAATAAGATATCCATATAAGGACATGGGGGAAAATTATACATATGTGGCAAATTAAAGCTCATTTTACTGCTTTAAACGTACTTTTACCAAAACAGATAAACTATCTTTCATATTAAACTGTTTTGACAAGATTTATTTTGTTAAAAACATCATTCAAGCTACCTTTTTTCCTTTGCAGAGAATAAGCAGGATCTTCTCCTGATTCAACTCCCATCTTACCCCCCCCCCAAGATAAACAGCGGCCAGTCCCCATTTACCATCACAATTCAATATTCCCTGTCAGGGGCGCCTTCCTTGGAGGGGCTGCAGGGGCAGCTGCCCTTCCTGCCCTCTTACAGAAGGGCCAGAGGGGGCAAGCAGTGCCCTTAAATATTCACCCCTGAGAAAAGATTATAGAATTTTGTAGATATTTGATGACTAGTTTGACAACTTTCATAATGTTAATTTGCATAAGAAATTTAGAAAATATGAAATCTCCCTTTTTTGCTGTCGACTTTTGATCTCGAAAAGCTCTTTTCAGAAGACGATAAAAAACTTCAAAAATCAACGGCGTCTTATAAAATACTGACTATTTTGCCCATCATCAGAACAAGGATGTTGCGCTTATTTCATGCCTTGATGTAAGAAACATGCTGAAGTAAACAATCATTTGATATCCATCTAATTTGTGCGACTATTATTTTCCTTTTTACACTCCTAATGCTTTTGCGACCATGGAGTCTTGAGACTTAGTAGACAATCTAAGTCTTACAGCCAGCCCATGTATGATTTCCGTAAAACCAAATGTTTCGAATAATGAAAAGCCATTGAATGTCCATTACCATGGAGAAATGTAGCAACATTTTGCGTACGTTTAGAGCCTTTGATTGCAAAATTCAAGCTGTGTGGGTGGAACAGACCCATAATAATACTTTATTTTGCATCCTCCCCCCATCCCTCACAAATAATCGATTTTGGAAGTGGAAAGATTCTACTTTTTGCCCTCAGTGCCAACACTGCGACAACACTGTTCCCAGTCGATAAAGAACTCGAAACGAAACTGGTGTGATACTAAAATCTGCCTGGCACCCAAAGTGGTACTCCCCGCCACTTCCGTCTGGTCCAGAACAACACCAACAGCATTAGACTTGTCAGGCCTTTCCCGCCTCAAAGTTAACTTTGAATGGTGTCACTTTAGATATGTTTAAAAGGGTGTTCAGCCGTTTAATGGGGATTTTATGACTCGTTCTTAGGGTGTTCTAGGGGTTTTCAGCCTGCTCTCAGTCTTTTAGAACCGACGTTGATCTGATCGGGTTTACCGCCTGTTTCGTTCCGCAAAATGGCGTCGTTGGGAAGAAGCAAGGCCAACAAGACAATCGTGATTACAGGGGTGACAGCCGGTCTTGGACTGGCAATGTGTGAGTATTTTGTCGAAAGATCCCACATTGTTATTGGCTGTAGCAGAAGAGCTGACAAAATCGATGAAATGAATAACAAATTCTCCAAAGACAAGGGTAAATTTTTTTGCGTTGATGTCAGCTCAGACGAAGAGGTTGAAGAATGGGCAAAAACCGTGATCCAACAATTCGGTTCACCAGACCTCCTTATCAACAATGCAGGAATTATAAATAGGAATGAAAGATTGTGGAATATTTCAGCTGAAGAATTCGATAAAGTGATTGATGTTAATATCAAAGGAACTGCAAATTGTATACGCCACTTTGTTCCAAGCATGGTGGAAGCACAGAAAGGTGTCATTGTTAATTTTTCGTCTACATGGGGAAAAACAGTATCTGGTGAAGTCGCCCCCTATTGTTGCACAAAATGGGGTATCGAGGGTTTATCCAAAGCACTGGCTCTGGAACTGCCGGCTCCCATGGCTTGTGTTCCTTTGAACCCTGGAGTTATTAACACTGAAATGCTACAAACAACTTTTGGAAGTAGTGCAAAGTACCACATGACCCCTAAAACATGGGCCAAAAGTGCTGGAGACCTGATACTGAGCATTGACAGAAGTTTCAATGGAAAGAGCCTTGATGTGTGACAAATTCTTAATTCAGATCTGAAACAAGTGTGCATGATTTGATGTAGTTTAATGAGACCTAGACAGAATAGTTTTGATGGGGTACATTTTTTAATGTGTCACTCAATTTTTTTACCATAAACCGTATTCAAGACTATTTATCTATGTATGTAGCAATTATTATAAATTAAATGTTCACTATGGTTCAGTTTACTTTAAATAATCTAAATTTAAATACATAAATTATTACTATATAGCATACATTTGGCATGTCTTTGGTACTAATAGAATTGTCTCTTTTTACAAAGCAACATCTTTCTTTGGCCTACCTCTTCCAACTGGAACTACTGTCACTGTTTTGCATTTACTTTAGGCTGAAATATGCTATGCATTCAATTTAATTTGATTAAACGAAACATCAAAAATTGCACAGTGTAAACACTGGATTGAATGTCTTAATGGCTGTTTTGACAAAGTGAAACTTTTTTAAAAATTTGGATGTGTTCAACTTTCACCCAATTTTTTTTATTGTATTCTTTAATCCTCCTTGGCACCTATTTCTTTATTGACCTGCACTGCACTTCAAGAGCTTCATTCTACCAGCCAGGTTTTTTTTATCACACTATATTCTGAAATTCTTATAAATGACTGGAAAGAGTCAAAGAATTAAAAATACCAAGGAGTTTATTAATTTCTGTGGAGAGATGAAAGCTTTCTTTTGGACACAAGATCGCCTCTGTATCGCAATAGAGATGCTCAAGAAAAAAAAAATTAACCAACCTTCCAGAGAAGCTTTCATTACAGGTATGCACATATATCTAGCTTTTTCGATAGTTTTTTCCAAGTACGATGACTCGTAGAAACGTGTTTAATAGGGAATGATCTACATATTTTTGATTGAAAGTATTCAAATATTCATGGTAGGCCCATGTATCATTTTCATATTTTTGAGACCAAAAAGCCTAAAATTGTGCATCCCCTAAAGCTTCAATTTTTAAATCATCGCAGATAACAAAATTATCTCAAATTAACTCATAGTGGAAACCAAGCTTAAGAGCACATCAAAATCTTTGCAAGACATTATCAAGAACCTCTGATATTTGTCACCTTCTTCCAAAAAAAATTCTTGCAAAAGCATGTTATCAACTCCCAGCTCATTTCTTTGGCTGAATGAGCTGGGAGCGATTGCAATCACAGCGGGAGCAGCAACACATTCTTCATTGGACTCCAAATGAGGGAGTGCTTTAAAAAGTGTTTCGATTTAGTGAGTGAGTGTCAATGGAGACATTCTTTCATTTAAATGAACTATTTGTTTTATAGAATTCAATTAAATGCATAGCATATTTTAGCCTTTACACTAGCCCTCTCAACTATTCTCTCAATGTGTTGAAACCAGCAAATTTGTCTATTCTGCACCCATGTCCTAATTCTTATTAGATTTATTCTACATCTAAGTTCATCAGATGTATGTCTGTCTTTTAGGCTTCTTCACAGTACACAACCGCAGCCCTCACTGTTTTGGTTTTGCTACTTTACATCATACCATGCATACATGGAAGATAGACTCCATACTTGGCCAACAATGGTATCAGCTTGCTGGTTAGTAATGGTAAAAGCTCCCTAAACTTGCTCCATCCACTTCTAACATTTGCTATTACCAGTGGCATAGATACAGGAGGGGGAGGGGGGTGTCAGAGGGCCAAACCCCTCCTTTAAGGCAAAATTGCCATTTGTTGGAAAATTTCTAATCTTGTCAGAAAAAAAATTATCATTGTTTTTTGTTCCTTGTATCAAATTGTTACATTTTGGAAATGAATATGACAATTTATCTGATTGAATTAGTGAGATGAAATGATTTCTTCCAGTTAGGTATTGCATTTACATCTTTCTTCATGATAATAAGAATTGCAAATAACAAGAGCCTTAAAATTGATCAAAAGTTAAGAACAAGTTAACCAAAGTACAGTAAAGTTATGAAATCCCCTTAAACTGTTGCCAAAATTGATTTTTTGAGTTCTTTCCAAACACCTCATTTAAAGAGGAGACTATCAGATTATTTTTGCAGTATGATTGTTGTAACATGACTTTCTATGGATGACAAGAGTTTGTTTCCTGGCATAGTTCAGTTCTATTGGCCTGATGTTATGTTTGAAATAATGAGAAAATGTTAGCTATTCTAGATATTTGTCAGAATATCAATACTTCTAGGCCCCGCCCATGGACTTCCTTTTTACGCCCCTGGCTATATACACTATCACCAGCACCTCTTGCAATGATATCACAAGGATAGTAAAATTTCTGAACTCTGTCAATATGAACTCTGTAATCCAAATATACTCTGTCAATTTGAAAATTGCCAACTGTCTTATTCGCTGGGTGCCTCTCGCCAATAAACTTGTTGTTATATTTTAGCTTTCATGCAATCTCAACCTAGATAACCCCTGACAAGATGAAGTAAGCAAATATAATCTTACTGTTTGTATAGTATTTTTAGGTGCTCATTTATCAATTTCTTTATGTATTATTTTTTAACCATTGGTCTTGTTATTGGCACAGATAGTCTTCTCAAATTGTTTAGGGAGAAATTTGAGATACAAGCTTAGCTGAATTAAAATGAACTGAACTGACTTTTATAATACAATGAATTATTAAGACAATAATATTTATCACTTGAGGGCATATGACACGGACAAAAGTGGCTTACAGCCACTCGACAACGAGCGGTTGAACAATCAAATTGCGCACAGAGAAAAATATGTCAACCGTTTCTGCAAATTGGTGAAATCCTAGAGCAGTGCGCAATGGTTTCACATGAACAGTTTCCAATTCCTTTCTTGTGCGCGTGCTCTGATCAATTTGGCCTAGGTTATTTTTGGATGCGCTGTACTCATGCATGTCAAATGCTTTGAATGAATAGCATTGCATACTAAGAGAGTAATTTCACAGTTGATAATGACATTGAAAGGGCGAAGCTTAAAGTTGCTACTTTGAACTGTCTCCTTTGAACTGCCTTCTTTGAATTGTCTTCTTCTAACTGTCTACTTTGAACTGTCTTCTTTGAACTGTCTAATTTGAACTGTCTTCTTTGAACTGTCTACTTTGAACTATCTTCTTTGAATTGTCTACTTCTAACTGTCTACTTTGAACCGTCTTCTTTGAACTGTCTTCTTTGAACTGTCTTCTTTGAACTGTCTTCTTTGAACTGTCTACTTTGAACTGTCTTCTTTGAACTGTCTTCTTTGAACTGTCTACTTTGAACTGTCTACTTTGAACTGTCTTCTTTGAACTGTCTTCTTTGAACTGTCTTCTTTGAACTGTCTTCTTTGAACTGTCTTCTTTGAACTGTCTACTTTGAACTGTCTACTTTGAACTGTCTTCTTTGAACTGTCTTCTTTGAACTGTCTTCTTTGAACTGTCTTCTTTGAACTGTCTTCTTTGAACTGTCTACTTTGAACTATCTTCTTTGAATTGTCTACTTCTAACTGTCTACTTTGAACTGTCTTCTTTGAACTGTCTAATTTGAACTGTCTTCTTTGAACTGTCTTCTTTGAACTGTCTTCTTTGAACTGTCTACTTTGAACTGTCTTCTTTGAATTGTCTACTTCTAACTGTCTACTTTGAACTGTCTTCTTTGAACTGTCTTCTTTGAACTGTCTACTTCTAACTGTCTACTTTGAATTGTCTACTTCTAACTGTCTACTTTGAACTGTCTTCTTTGAACTGTCTAATTTGAACTGTCTTCTTTGAACTGTCTACTTTGAACTATCTTCTTTGAATTGTCTACTTCTAACTGTCTTCTTTGAACTGTCTTCTTTGAATTGTCTACTTTGAACTGTCTACTTTGAACTGTCTTCTTTGAACTGTCTACTTTGAACTGTCTAATTTGAACTGTCTTCTTTGAACTGTCTACTTTGAACTATCTTCTTTGAATTGTCTACTTCTAACTGTCTACTTTGAACTGTCTTCTTTGAACTGTCTAATTTGAACTGTCTTCTCTTTGAACTGTCTACTTTGAACTATCTTCTTTGAATTGTCTACTTCTAACTGTCTACTTTGAACCGTCTTCTTTGAACTGTCTAATTTGAACTGTTTTTTTCGAACTGTCTACTTTGAACTGTCTTCTTTGAATTGTCTACTTCTAACTGTCTACTTTGAACTGTCTTCTTTGAATTGTCTACTTTGAACTGTCTTCTTTGAACTGTCTACTTTGAACTATCTTCTTTGAATTGTCTACTTCTAACTGTCTACTTTGAACTGTCTTCTTTGAATTGTCTACTTTGAACTGTCTACTTTGAACTGTCTTCTTTGAACTGTCTAATTTGAACTGTCTTCTTTGAACTGTCTACTTTGAACTATCTTCTTTGAATTGTCTACTTCTAACTGTCTACTTTGAACCGTCTTCTTTGAACTGTCTTCTGTGAACTGTCTTTTTTGAACTGTCTCCTTTGAACTGTCTATTTGAACTGTCTCCTTTGAACTGTCTATTTGAACTGGCTTCTTTGAACTGTTTTTTCCTGCGCTCCAAGTTCGATATATTATGCCAATAAATTTGAAACTTTTCCCTCATACCTCCTGCAAGCAATGAAGTGTTGCCTCCTAACATTATCAGTCAATAAAACAGCATTATTGATGCTATTTCTGTTCATATATCTCGCTAGTCCATAAAATTTTTGCAGGCACATTTTCCATACATTATTCTATTAAAACCTGATAATATCAAAAGACTATGATTGAACTCTTCCCCTTTTTAACTTAATCTGTCTTTAGTTACTGCAAATAGTATTTTCATAATTATAAAACCAGAACAATCTGACATTTCCTTGACGACATCATGACGAGGTATATATATTTCCTAGCGTAGAGTATTCGATCTATGTTTTGACGTTTTTATACTGTGAAGAGTGTCAGACGAAATTCTTTAGTAACATGTTTCAAATAATTGCTTTTTCAAAGCCATGTTTAGATATTTATTATTCGAAAAGTGATGCATAGCCGATTGTGATAAAACAATAACCAAATCAGGAAAGACCATGAAAACAAACTGGTTGAAGAAGGAAGTCCAGTATTTTAAGGAAGACCCTAGGTTTCAAGCGGACCAGTTTTGGCAAAAAGTGAAGCGATAAAACATATTGCAAATTGAAAAAAAGAGATTCATATTGCAAAAAAAGTTTTTTGATTTTAGCTTGGTATTGTTTCTGATAGCAAATCAAATGTAATATAGACTCAAATACGTTTCAGGATGTTTGAGTCAATTTTGAGAAATAGTTTGCAAACGAGTACATCATCATTTTAATGCCAAAATGTGAGTCTACAAAAAGATTTTTCTCGAAGTGAGACAAAAGACAAGAAATGTGCAATATGTTCCTTCTCGAAATGAACAGAGTAAATTTGGTAGAAAAAAAAACAAAATAATGGCATAGATTTTTGCTATGGTAAAACAGCCATTGCCGAAGAACCCATATGATTCGGTTTGCCACGTGCTTTTGCCTTAAAATAGTGCTAAAAGACATTAAAATGGTTTGGAATTTATTTTGAAGTGACATAAACACCTTTTTGCAATAAACCGGAGTTTAAAAAGCGAAGACCGGGTTTTTAAATGTGTCGTGGCTGACTTTTTTGCAGCAAAACTGCGTTAAGCACGTTTAATAGGTTGAATAATGGTAAATAATTCATCTTAGAACTGCAAAGTTTTTAATTAAAAATTGGGAGAATAAAAATGTCATGGGCCCAACAGGCAAAGTCTGATCCAATATTAACAAAATAATTTAAATCGTGTATAGAGAAACAACATGTGGTTTTAAATTCATTTAAAAGCTTTAAAAGAGATTTTGTCTAAAAACACAACCCTTGGGCGCATAAATGGCCCAGTTTATTGTCATTTCTTCTTAAAAAATAAGCAAAAAGACGAAGCCAAGTGAGTTGTTTTCTGATCAAAGACTCTATGCTATATACTTCTTAAAACTGTGTAGAACATTTTAAATTCCATGAAAAAGTGTCAGCAATTTATTTCGAAGCAGCAAAAATGCATTTTCATTTTCAACTGGTAATTTGGAAAGCCGTGTGTTTTGCTTTCAAAAATTCCTAAAGCCATACCAAAATGATTCTCATAAATTTTCCCCTGGAACCTGTCACAAAATACATTTGATAGGGACATTATTTATCTGAAATTAAATTTAATGGGAATAATTAATTTTTATGTGCTTTTGGTGTTTGTGAATTTGGAAAATAAAGCTGTTCTGAATACAACAGTCTATGGCCTTGACCAAAATGCTCTGAACTTGACCAAGAATTTTTCCCATAAAATCTCCCTCAAAAAGAAATTGAATGGATGCAAAAGCATCAGGAATTCCCTCTGATACATTAGACTTGATAAAATCATTTAGATTTGCTATCAACAAAACGTTTGAAAAGAAGGCTATGTAATTCGAAAAATTATTTTTGGTCTAAGAATAGCTCGTCTTTAGACTGTTGCGGGAGTAAGAAAAATAATGTCATTTTTGTTAAAAAGAAAACGACAGATAGTGCTGTTACCAGTACAACCTTAAATATAAAGTTTTTCCTCCTAAAAACAGTATCATAAGACATTAGATATATCCAAAATTAAAGGATTTCATTTTGCGGTGGTGATCCGATATGTCGCCTGAAAATTCACAAACATCACATCACATCACATCACAAACATCATAAAAGTGAAAGGTTTCGGAATTTAATTTGAAAAAGTGTAATTAAATATGAAGCTTGAAATATTAAACTTCAATTTTCTTGTCAAAAAAGTCTTCAGTTTGTCAAGAATGATTTGACTTAAAGATAAGCACTCATAAAGTTTTATTATAGGATTAGAACAAAAAGAGCCATCTTTGCTTGGAACATATGTGTATACCCTAAGCATGATGACCCAACTTTTACAAATCCTTTAAAAGGTAATTTTGAAGGAAGAGCAGAAGCGGACTGGCCCACCGGGACACCGGGAAATTTCCCGGTGCGCCCTTAGCCCCATGTCTTTTTTCAAAAGCTTGAAAACCTTCAAAAGGCAACTAATCTTCGAATTAAACTAAAATTGATTACAAGCATCAAATGACCTCCTGTCTAAAGTACGTTTCCATAAAAAGTTTAGCTTCTCTTTTAAGTTGAGCAAAATTAAGATTAATTGTTAAGTTTCCCGAACCTTGTTATTGTAAAATTCATTGAAGACGAAATTTTGATCAGCAAATTCTGTAAGATTTTTTGAAAACCTTGAAAAGAACATATTTTATTTTGAAAATGACTTTCAAAAAAGCAAAAATTTTAAACATACTCAAATTTTTTTCGTATGAAACTTCTGAGAGCATATAACCTCAGAATAAGGGTCCAAAAGAATGAGATGAAAAATTCGATCCAGAAATTGGTATTTACTCTCCATCTTGTTCTTTCTGACCCTTATTCTGACGTTTTATACTCTTAAGAGGTTCAGACGAAAAGGCTTTTAGTATGTTAAAAATGTTTGCTTTTTCAAAGCTATTTTCAAATTTAATAGCGCCAAAAAATTGTTCATATGTAGCAGCCAGAAGCCTGCTCCCCCTTTAGCCCTCGTTAGCTTTTAATTTTCCAAGCAAGTGCGCAATGCTTGAATTAATTCGATATCTATTGAGGTGACTAGTAATTTTGTGAAACCCATGACTTATGTCTAACCATATTAGTTGTTTGACTTATGGCTAAAGCAAACTATTCCTAGTGCCTGATATCCAATAATTGAGGGCTCGCACTTTGGAAAGATAAATTGGGCACTACCCTGTACTCCTTTCAATCAAAATGGTTAAAACTGGATAAAATTATCTGTAGGCTATTGGGTATGGAAACGTTCACATATTACGTAATCAAAGATTGGTTAAACTATAAACTATCCCTTAATAGTGAAAACTGTTCTAGGTACGATAGAGGACAATACTTTCTGAAAGTCGTAATGGTGGCAAGCTATTTTATTTTGCAATTCAACTAAAAACTCATAGGCATCATGCTTTTTGAACGTTACAACCAGAAATTTTGTGCCCAAAAGAAATTATGACTTATTGGAGACAAAAATCTTGACAACTTTGTAAAAATCTTTATACGGAATTTGTTGAGAATTCATGCCCTCGTGTACGAACCTTCTTTAAAAACTTAATGGAAAGTTAAACCGGCTGTTTTGAAAAAAACTGGTTTCAAATTAACAACTATCTATCAAAGTATTTCAATCTTCCTTCAAACTTTTGCTCCGGAATGGAGACTGTGTCTTTTCTTAAGAAATTATTTATCTTTTCTACCATGTCTACGCACAGTTTCTCATACAGAAGGAGCCTTCAATCTGCAAAATCATCAATTTGCGCAAAACGGACTCAAAACGCAGGGTCTCTTAAAATCCATTTGTCCAAGATATGTTATCAGATACTTTTCGGACAAGTCTACAGTTTTAAGCATATGTTCAATACCTGATCATAATTCCGCACGCTGATACACTGGCATCATATCTTTTGTATATGATTTGTAACTCTAGCGTAGAGGCAGGAGCAACACAGTCATTAGGCTAGCAGGTGCTGAGGCACCCCTTTACTTTTTTAAAGATATGCTGCAAAACTTTCGAAAATTTATGAGAATGAAGTCAATGTATTTCGTCAAATTTCTAAAGATTTCGAGATCGATTTTAATCGAAAAAAAATCTCGTCTCTCAGGCCAGAGAAATTGTTTTCTTTGTAAAATCTCTGAAGATAGTGTCTCGCTAGCTGAAAAATCATCATTTGATACCTAAAATTGAGGGCAATAAATCATTTTGTTCTACAAATTTTGTCAGCCGTGTAGACGTTTCAAATAAAGTCAATTTGACTGAGAATCTTCTTCATGCCAATGCCAATTGTGAATACCTTTGATTTTCAACATGAGGCATGTTCCGACATTCTAAATAGGGTGATTTCAAAAAATTTTCCGGGGGACATCCCCCGATCCCCCGTTTCCTTTCCTGTGACAATGCTTGCAACAAACTGATTCTCGGCTAAAGCAAAGTTTTTCCGAGCCCGTTTTACAAGCCCTAAAGTTTTGAGACTTCAGCACCTATTGGCGCCCTTTTGGCTGCTTTTCCCGGTGGGTCAAATGGTTGCCAGTCCGCCACTGAGGAAAAGAAAGTAGTTTTGATTAAATAGATTTTCGAAAACTAGGCTATTTTTAACAGAGATTTTCGAAGAGCTTGGCAAAAGGGCAATTTTACTTAATTTGAAAGGAAACTATGAAAAAGAACCTAATCAACATTGAGCTAAAAGTGATGCTATGCCATTGTGAAGCAATCTTCGTTGAAAAGAATTTTTATAGATCTTGGTTTGATATGGTGGTCTGAAATTAAATTCAGCGTCTTCCTAATTTGTTTGAAGGATTATTTGAATCATTTTTCATGTAAAAATCTAAACTGATTGCATCATTTTAAGCCAGGGTCGTGAGAAAATCTTTCAAAATATTTTAGTTCCAAACTATAGAAAACAAAATGAAATTATTTCAAAAGCTTTCAATGCAACAGGAATTTCCCGAGATGTATATTCAAATATTGGCAATTAGTAAGTCACAAGTTTTAAAAAATTTTCAAATATCAAAGTAAATTGATGGGCTTGAAACGATAATTTGAAATACTTTTGAATCAAATTTGGTTCAAATTATGCCAATCGATTTAGACTATACTAGGACACTTTTTCAAAATAAGTGGGCTCAATCTGAAAGAAAATTGCAAACAAATTATTCCATCTGTTGTGAGCATATAGTGGGAATTTAGCCTTACGAAATTGGCAAAGTTGGTTGGAATAACTGATAAATTTATTGCATATGATTAAAATACCAAAATTGTGTTCTTTGTTTTTGTTCAATTTCAGTTGAATTTCGAAGAAGAATGCACAAAAAGTATGTCATCAGTTTTTTGCACTAGTAACAGCCCTTTTAAGATGGCAGATTATCTTGCAAAAATGTATCTCAAACGTTATTGTTTAAATGAAATGACATGGTCTGTCACAAGAACGTTGACAAATTGGTCAAAAAAATCCTCGAGATATTACCTAAAAAGCTAAGAATTCTGGTCCAAAATTCGTTGGAGGATGTTTTGAGCCATTATAGTTAAATTTTAGGGACAATGACAACACCACTTGCAAGCCAGAAACTATAACCTATAAGCTATAACCCCTAGAAAATGGAAATGTAGGATAATAAAGGTTCTTGATCGAATGCTTGTAGCAATATCTACAATATTGAAGTAATTATGGTCTCAATTTTTTCAGGATCTTACTTTCAAGAAGAAAAGGGTTTAAGTCCTGATGGGTACGAGGCAGGGCTTCAAAAGGAATTAAAATTGGCACTGCACGCACAAATGTTCTCTGTTAGTCGAATTTCGCAAGATTTCAAAGTCCGCTTTAAAAAAGTAAAAACAGGCTATGATAGGTATTTTTGACGATGAACCTTTTGATGATGTTTTATCAGGCATATAATGTTAAATTTGATTTTTCAAACTATCTGTTCCGTGCTGCCTAATTTTTTGCCAGAACTGGTTAAGTCTCCTATTTAAGTTATTATAGGTGTGAGCAAACTCCGGCCAACAAAGGGAACGTTTTTGGCCCGCGAAGAAAAGGTTCATCGAACTCTCCTAAAAGGCTGCCTACCTCTGTTTTAAAATACATTTATTACACCGTTATGCGATAAATCTTTTCTTTACCTATCGAACCATCGAGTTGGTTTATTAGTTAAAATCAGGCTTTCGATTCAGAATAAAGTAGAAATTTAAGAAACGATGTACAAATCTTGTTTACAATGTTAACTACATCAGTTCAAAATGCCAGTAAGAAGCCGTGAAACTGCCGTATTGTTATGTTAAAAATCAGGTGAGTGGCCTTTTAGGCAAACCAAGAGAGGAAAATAAAAAGAGAAACGAACATGAATGCAAACAAATTCTAAAGCTAAGACAAAATCAGATTTAATCAACAAAGAAAATACGAAAAAAACATGGAGAGGTCTTAACATATAAAAAAACTAAAACCAAGCAATATATACATATATGACAACATCTGTTACTGAGTATTTGCAAAATGCGTATGCAACCAAAGACCTTACCAGAGTTAGGTTATATCTGATCAAGTTAGGCTCCTTCATCTGATCAAGGTAGCACCACCCCCCTCAGTTAATAAACATTTTTTTACCACTAATGAATTTTTTGTACACCACTGACAGTTATATCCTTAGCTTAGCGAAAATCAACGATGACCTATACCTTATGCTGTCGGCAAGTACAGGATCCCACATTTTAAGTCACGATAATAAAGAGAAAGCTGGGTCCTTTTAAATATATTTGACAAATGACATTTGCTGTTCGTTTCAGGCATCTTTGCTGGCCGGTACTCTGAAATTTCAGTGCAAATCAGAAAGAAATGGCACATAGCCAGATACGCAAGGCGACAAAACCTCGAAAAAAGAGCGAAATATTGTGTATGAAATGTACCAAACGACTTTGCAACAAAGATTCCTATGTACAAAGCGTTTTGCAGGAAGAAGACTGCTTACGTCTAGCTCTTCAGATAGCCGAGTTTGGCATCAGATGCTGAAATGCAAGATCAATCTTAGAATATTATTCCCTAAAAACTTTAAAAATGTTGAAAATGTGAACTTTAAATCAGTCTAATACCTTGACTGCTGATTCTAAAATCTGAGAGAAAAATGATGTATAAATTCAACATCCAAGCGATAGGGGAAACGATTTCTGTCTTTGAAAATAACTGGCTACACCTTTGGATTTAACAAAATTATCATCGTTCTTTGACACGACAATGCAAATGAATGCATAACAATAATTTAAACTGCATAATTTAAACTGCATAATTTAAACGTGTAATTTTGTATAAATAACTCATCAAATGCAGTGCCATAAAGGCCATAAAACCCTCTAAGAGTTGCTGAAATCCTTTTTACATGTTGAAAGTGCTATGAAATTTTTACAAATCTTGGTGGTGAAGCGCTGCATCGATGACGAGGCACCACTGAAAGTGACCTTATGGATGACGAGGCACCACTCCATCAACCTCCCCTCAAATCATGCCAAGGAATCCCCATGGACTTAGGCATCCCCATCACCAATATCACTCAGGTTCCATACCCAAATGCTGCAGATACCGAGCACTATTTGGGCAAGACCATTATAAAGTATATATACAGCTAGTTAGCAATGGGATCATAATTCGTCGTCCGAATCGAGCAGCATTGTCGTTTCACTGGCCCCAGCATCCTTGGCCTTAGGCTTTGTGCTACGAATGGTGACTTGATAACTCGTGCCTTGTTGCTCTTCAGTGCCAGAAGAAACTTCATTCTCTTTCGTTGGAAGTGCATTTGCGTACTTTTGATACGCAGGCGAAAAATTGTGAATCGCATCTTGAACAATGTCATTTGGGTTTACAGTCTGGCGAAAGTTTTTGGAAATACTTCGAAGCGCAATGCCTTGACCCTTTGATTCGAGAATTCGTTGATGTCGATAAACTGAAGATGGGAAGGCGAATCGTAATAAGACTGCAGCAATCAGCATTTCAAAACAAATAATGAAGTTCTGATAAGCTGCTGCAATGGACCCAGCGGGTATTTTATGGTATGTCTTTATGGCACCAGTTTTCTCGAGGACGGCCAAAGCAACCCCTACATTAGAAACGAAGCAATAAATTTCATAGAAAAAGAGCAGAGAAAAAAATTGAACCTTTTAAGGAATTTGCAACGATTTTTATTGATGACTGATGGTTGATGAGTTACGTGAGTGATATACCGTGAGTGATAAGACTTCATTTCAACAATAACATTTTATACAATTGTTTGTTACTTCTTTAAGTATTTATCGGGCAGGCTGAGAAAGAGTTGTTTCACAACTGAATTGAAACCAGTTATTCAAAACGAAAAGAAACGGAAGAAAAATGTAAAAGAAGAAACAATAAGAAAGAGGAAGGAAGCGATGAAAGCAAAGAAAGAAGAAATGGAGGGAGACGTCAAAGCAAGGTAAGAAAGACTGAAGGGGAGTAAAGGAGTAAAACAATGAGGTGAGACTCAAAGACAGGACAACAAAGAGTAAAACAGCAATTGAAAAAACAGCAAAATGGAAACCACAAAGAAATCAACCCAAGAAAACTTATACAAGTCTTAGTTTAGAAAAACAGTCTTTTCAAAGTGCTTGCTAGACCATAGTCTGAATACCAGGGGCAAATGGGATTTCCATTTGCAAAAGAAACGTCATATTGCTTAAAAGCTGAGGCAGAGGTATACGTCTTCGTGGATGGTAATGATGATGCAATGGTGCGGCTTACAAAGGAATTTAATTACATTTGAGGCAATGCGGGTTAAGCGAGATAGGTCATTGGATGTCAAAACACCAGAAAAAGGTTAGAATCTGCACCAAACCTCACCAAACCAGCTGAAATTTGGCACAACTAATAAGATATGAAAGTGGCCTTTTCCTACAACAAGGTCATAATTCAAAATATCTTCAATGTGGGTACAATTTGGTAATTAGGGCAAAAAAGGGCTGCAGATTTAAAAAATGCCACTGTTTTAACCATACAGGTGCTAAAAATTCTCATACTGTTCATAAAAAGTTCAGGAAAATTATCTACCACTGTTTACCTAAGTACCTTATGACCTTGCTAGGAAAAGGCCAGCCTACAATCAAAAGATCTTTTGTATTGTTAACAACTACTAAATTCACAAAAATTTACTACAAAGTTTTGTGATGGCCCTCCTTGTACTTTAGAAGATATGAAACTGCCAATTTTAGGGTATTTGAATGTAAAATCGCATACCTTGCCAAAAGGAGAGGAACACGACGAACTTGACTGTTAGAAACTTGAGAACAGGATAGTATGGGCTAAGGAGCTGCTTTGTAGCAGAGTAGAATAAGAACAGTCCATACAATGCCACCGAGTAGGAAATATTATAAATTACTGTGATGTACAGGTATCCTCGGTTAGCCCTGCAACAAAACAGCAAAAGTTATAAAGATTATAACAAGAGAGCATAACTCACTGAAATCTGTCGATATTAGGTCACTAGAAAATAATACAGAGCCGCCCGGCAATCGAGTAAAGCGCGAATTATTTTAGGGATGAAAAAAATGAATACATTGAATAAACTAAGTTGTATGTTGCATCAGGGTACCCGGGGGTTCAGGCTTTTATACAACTTGCATACTAATTCTCCATTAGCAGCTTCTATTACCTTGATTTACTTTAGCTCAAATCATGTTCGTTTCAATCGATACCTTCTTATCCAAATTCATTTAGATTTACTAGTTATCCATTGTATTGTACTTGGACTGCCATCAACCTGATTGGGCAATCATAGATTGAATTATGGAATGAAGTGTAACTACCTTGCCATATGAAAGTATGCTACTGGAGTCTGTAATGCTTAAGCTACCTGATTGCAGAGTGCTGGCCGCGGTACAAAGCTGTAGGCATTAAAAATGTGAAGCTACTCACCCAAAATTTCCTTCTGAGTAATATCCAAGAGGCTGTAGTACCAGGATAATGATTGCCATTATGGGCTTTGTAAAACAAAATTGCAGTGTTGCCTGAAATTCAATTTGGAACATAAGAGATTCTTAAAAATTTCATTGGATTCTAATAAAAAATAATTGGGAAAGAAAACTTATCCAACAGATTTTCAAATTTTGCAAACTCAGAATTTTTTAGATACAAAAATCAAGAAAGTGATAAAAAAATTAATTGTTCAGTGTCGTTGTAAAAAGTTCAAGCAACAAGCAGAGTGCAAATAGCTTCGATTGTTTTCCAATTGTAATACCTTAGTACCACAGCTACTTTCAAACAGTGACACCTTAAATGGCATTTCAGTTTATGAAAGCTCTCCATACCATCAATATTTCACTTTCAGACTCGCAAGCAGACCCCTTTGTTCTTCCTACACTCTACTTCTTTTCGGTTTCATTTTGATTCCATTCAAGGAGGTTACCCTTCAGCATTCAAATAGAATAAATGACAACTGATCCATTCCTCTCTTCTCTTTCATACCTCTTCTTTCCCCTATTTCCCCACCCCCCCCCCAAATATACTGGCACTGATACTGGATTTGATCTTCATTATTTGCCCTCTGTTCGACAACCTGACCTAAATCCTATGAAATCACCGAATGTACTACTGTCCTAATAGCATCAAACATGTGCACTTTTGCTCCAGTTAGTTAATTCCACACTTCACTTGGATGATCTCATAATAAATGTGATCTTTAGCTTGTATTAGGAAAACTGAGCCAGTTGCAAAATATTCAATAAGGATATTACATTCGGTTTGGCATTCATACCTGTTTGCAAAATCTTAAAAAACTGACGTCGATTTGCATTCCTGAGAGACAGCAAGTGCAGGAAATCCAGCTAGATCTGAAGAAGATTAACAAGGCTTTACTATCAAAACAATAATTAACCTTGAACCTAATAGACTACAATTTCCTTATAGACTACAACTTTGGTCCAGACACGCTGAGTTTTCCGGACATGCTGAGTACAAAACACTATAAAAAGGAACTTGAGGCTTTTAAATGGTTAAAAAACTGCATTATAGTAACAAGAGAAATAAGATCCACAAATGAATATCAAGTAGAAATTAAAGTTAGACTTGAGCAAAAATTTCAACGAGTAAAATGATATTTCATTTGACATCTAAATGTGCAGCTTCCAAAAAAATTGAAATAAAACATATAAGTTAGAGACTAAATTAATATGATAAAGCAAAAATAATTTCAAGCAATTAAGCATGGAAAAGAACTTACTTGATTGCTTGTCCCCTGATTTCAGATAAAATTGCCATCTCTCCACCCAGGTATTCGTACAAAAGGCAAAGGAAGTTATATATTACCAAGGCTGAAAAAAATCATTTTAATATTAAATAAGAATATACAGCCAGCCACAAAATTTTTGAATCCATCTTATATGTATTTGTGGAAAGAAGTACACATGAGTCTAAAAGACTTGACAGTCTCTTTAAGCAATTTCACCAAGAACTGCGCTGCAAAGCAGTTCCAAGGTTTTGGTTGACTGTTATGCATTTGCTTACCTAATCTTGGAACAGGTAGAGCTCTTTAAGAAATTTGAAAAAATTGATCGGAAAGATACTTATAAGTGGTTATTTTTTGTCCAGTTTCTTATAAATGGTTATTTAGTAAAAGACTAACAAACTAATAAAACACCAGAAATATACTAACTTACAACCGTTATCAAATTTAAAACCCTTATCAAACTTTTAAAAGAAACTTTACAAAAATATGAGTTTCTTGTACAAGCAGATTTTTACTGTGTCTGTATTTAACCAATTGAAAGCGAAAATAACATTCTCATTTTGAATAAATGGCTTATTTGCAAGCAGCTATCTAGATGCTATTTTACCTCAGCTGGAAAACAGTAATTTACTGTAAAAAAACAATCCAGTATTTAATTATCAAACAAAATAAGAATTAGAGAAATATGATGATGCAGATCAGGGAAAGAAAATCCACCTGACCATAGGATCGAGCAGTCACAGGGAATTTTTCATGAATAAAGTTCTGCAGGAATTTATTTTAAAAAATACCCTTTTGCAAGAAGCACCGATGTATTTAGTTTCATGCTTACCAAAAGTAAACATCAAGACAAAAGCAATCTATCTCATGTGGATGCCTTGCACAGATTCATATGGTTTTCTTTCCTAAGAACCCTTAAGAATGTTTTGAAAATTCTTGTTTGATAAAAATTTTAAGTTTTCCATCTGGCTTAAGAATCTTTGTCATAATTTGCAGAATTCTTGAAAACTCTTACAAATTCTTGTGATGTAAATGGGGCTAAGGCCTATACTGTATATTGCATATCACAGTGTTATTTTAATAAAAATAATTTTTTTACATGATTTTTGCAATTGTTTTGTTTTTCAGGGTTCTGACCTACATCTTCATCACATAGTTTTGCTCAAAATGTCAATGGATAAAAGGATATCATATGATTGATCTTTTTAAGCTCATTTTTAAAGTTGTTAACTTTGATGCCTTCCCCCATCACCTAAAGATAATAGATACATCAATTTGATCTCTATTTGTGCTGTTCCACCTGCATTCTAGCAAATTTTAATATTCTGATTTGTAAATTATTATCAGTTAGGAATTTAATATTTTAGCTAAGCCCCTATTCCAGATCAATAAAGGCATTCACTAAGAAAGAATAATTTTCAGTCACCAAAACAGAAAATGATTTGAAGTGGTAGCAAAGCCGCTTAAATCTTTTAATGTTAACTCAAAACCTTTGTTTACATAAAACTGGTGAAATATCACTAAACCCTTTCTTTGTTTATCTTCCAATTCTTGCAGTAAATTTATGCATGGTTTTGTCTGGTCACAGGAAATAAATTTTGTTTTCATACCCTGATGCAGATTTCCAGTCTATATAATAAAATATTAGGCTGATATTATTGTTGACTTAAACATACTTTATCATATGAATCAATTGTGAAATCATCTTTGGCTCGTTTATTTTCCAATCACTGTCATTTTTTTTAACTAATTAGTTTTCAGTATCTGCTTAACACATCCTTTTGTTTTTTTCTTACACAACAGCAGGCCCAATATAAAACATTATCTGACATCTAATAAGGCAGTCTATTGCGGAACCTGTACTACTGTTTCAGCTAACTGCCATCACCTTTCCAGTAACTTACATCTCAGAAACTCATTTGGCCAATATTTGTACAAGTGCCTATTTCTTAAAGTGGGGTTGGTGGGTGCTTATTCGAGGGGGCACTTTTTTAATAGTTTTCCTGATCGGGTGTTATTTGAGGATTTACAGCATATAGTTTATCTATTAAATTGGAAAATATAGTCTTCAGAACTAAATTAATCTTATTTATATTATTAATTTCAGTTATATTATTTAGTTGATCAAATATATGGGGCCTGGTTCTTTGTTGGATGTTTGGTTGTAAAGCAGAGGCATGCTTGAAAGGGATTTTAACAATGTGACAGTTCCATTGCAGGGGTACTGAGCAAGTCAAGATGGTTCATAAATAAAAAAGGAATACTCCATGACAAAGCCAGTTGGCAGGAAAACATACCTTCATAACAATCTCTGATACTGTTAAAATAGATGTAGTAATTCTCTTGAAAGAAGACTAAACTTAGCCATGAATCAAATGCATATATTGGGACAATAAACAGTATTCTGACGATATATCTTTGCTGATCTGAGTTGGTGTAGTATCTGAGATGTGTGTATATCTGCAAAAGAATTTGCTCAACATTAAACCTCATAACTAATCACTTATTAAGGTGAATGTTCTTTTATAGTGTCAAAATTGAATAAATAATTGATCATCAAAGTTTGCCTGTGTCTTTCATTAGCAAAATCTTTCATTAGCAAAAACTTCAGAAAAAAGATAACAGAGACACTAGATAGGGTATCTGCCACATCCTTGATGTCTTGTACTGATAGCAAAAGCAATAAACAGAAGGTAGGGATACCAAAAAATAATGAGGAATGATCTGATATAAATGCAAGATGATTTATGATTCAAAAATAAAAACTAAATAATTTTAACTGATACTTTGCTGTTAAATGGGGATTTAACAGGCAAACTATTATAAGTTAAATTCAATTTAACATTTTTGTTTTCAAAATCATAAATCATCTTAGATTTTAACTGAAACACTATTTTACAGTTCAAAGGATGCTTGGTGCTTTATAGACAGAGCTGTACCAATACAATGCTTACCAAGTTGAAAAGCAGAGTTGCAACTTAGCACATTCCTATTCTGCTCAACCAAAGTGTTACATTATATTGGATTGTTACTTGTGGTTTCTACATAATTCCTGACAGCAAATAACACCCAGAAATCTACTGAGATTCTACAAATGACAGAAAAATACTTTATATATACTTGAAAACATCTGCTCCTTGCTAATATCATACCTGGTGACTTGTAATAAATAATGCCAAAAATGCACAGAAGCCTGAAAGCGCTTTTGCACCAATTGTAGCAAATAAAAGTTTTTCTGATGTGCTATTCATTGTTTCTTTACGTTATGGGTTTTCTGAAAGAGAAACAATATGTAAATTTTCTATAGATTTTTAAAACAACCAACTTGAAGAAACACAGAGAGTGGAAACCACACTTCAAACAAACCAAGTAATTACACAAAAGAACTTTGGATCTATTCTCAGCAGGATGAGTTATCTATGATAAATTTTCTTGAAATCAAAATAGAAACAAATTACCCTTGAGAAAGTGAAAATGTTTCATAAAAAGCAAGGATATTCTGTATGATTCAATAACTCTAATTTCAATAATTTCAACTTGTCTCACGAGACAGGCCTTCATGCAGGGAAGGCAGACAGGGGATTGCACAGGGTAATCAGTGAATTTCTATTTATTTTCAATAAAAATGTACAAAAAAGTTATCATTTCATCAAAAATCATTTTAAAAGCAAAATGAACACACAGAGAGCAAGTGGCTGAGTTCATTTCAGTAATGATACTTCATATTGACTGGGCCTTACGTGGTTTGTTTCAAGGACCTCATGGCCCATGAGTTAACCCCCACCCCCCCTTCCAGTTCTCAGCAGGATCAATTTTGTACAAATTCAATGAGGAAATGTTGGGGGAGGGGTAATATTTTGGCAACTTACTTTTAGTGATGTAATCCTATGATTTTCAAACTACCTTTACATAGCCAAAAGTTGGTCTTGGAAGTTCCCTTCCAATGAAATTGGCTTTTCTTGCTGGCAAAATGGCGTTTTGGTGCTAAAAATGGCATGGCCTAAAATATGTTGTTTTGTCCCCCAGAGCGTAGTGGCCCCCCATGAGCGTAGTCACAGGATGAAAAGTGTGCGTAAAGTTTGGCAAAGTTCAGGCTTAACATGCAGTTCTTGAACTTGTTTTCATGAGACTGTATGCAAATACTAGCCTCTAACAATCTGTAGAATGGGGCTTCCAGGCAGGGCCGGTTCCATGGGGGTGTGTGGGGGGGGGGTGTAACACAAGAATAGGCATTTGTGTTTTAGTCGGTAAAATTGGGATTTTAGTCAGTAAAATTGGGATTTTGACGGGTAGATAAACTTTTTTGTAGAAAATTGTACTTCATGGAATTTTTAAAAACATTCAAAGATATTAAAAAGTTCTGGAGTTCAGTTTTTCCGTTGATCCAGAAGAGAATTTTCAGGAACATCACAGAAGAAGATTAATCCCAAGATATTTGGCAAAACCAGAGACAAGTTTAGTCTGGGAGATGCATTTCTAGCCATCCTAGAAGGTTTAATTTCAAAAAATTTCTTTCGCGTCGGACCCAACCATGGCGGGTCCTACTATGTCACTGAACTTTATTCTTAACCCCCCAGGCTCAGTTTTGTGGCCCCATCTCTGAAACTGCGAAGCACAATGCACCAGTCGCATTAACGGAGTGTAATAATGCCAAAATGTATTCGGTAGATAAACACTCGCACCCTCCCAAAAAAATTTCCTGAAGCCAGGCTTGCTTCCAGGGCATCATAATCGTGCATTGAAGTGCATAAAGCTCGCAAGTCACTTCCGGATACAATCTTTCATATTGTTTCTGCTTGTGTTCCAATTTTTACAGAGAATTGAAGTATGAACTTGTAAGGGGTTTCACAACAATAATCGTTCCAGGTGAAACTTTACCCCCTTAGCTATCAATCACGGTCAAATTCCTAATGAAAGTTTTCTAATGTCATAATAAAATCAATGTCGTGACCAAAAACATTATGAAAATTTTCAAGTAGACTAAAATTTTTGCTCTTAATGCGAATCTGGAATAAAAGATTTTGTACAAAAACATTTAAAGAATTTTATCAAAAAAAGTTTAAGTTAAATTGGTGTATACCCTGATAGTAGAAGGGGCGTGGTCGTTAGAAATTTAGAAAGACAACGCCCATAAAGTCCAATTTTCTTAATTTTTAAAATTCTTTAAATAAACTCTGGAGCGAGGAGAGTTTAAACAGAAGCCTCTAGTTGCGAAAAGTCTGGTTTATCCGTACTCGTAATGAACGGGAAGTCTTTCCTTATCAAAAGTTGTACGGCACCGTGTAAACGCGATCTATCCGTATATATCTTTTTATTGGGATGAAGCTTTCAACATAATCAACAAACTTCCCAACTGCACAAACCTTTTAACAAATTATCTTGTTTTTGCTGCGTACATGAATCGCAAAGGTGAACGCACTGATAGATGATCGAACTGCAATTCCGGCGCTGCGTAATTTATCTTGGGAGGTATGCAGTCCCTAGCTGCGAGTAACTGCAATCCAAACGGCCATCTTGTGTTTGAAAAAGCGCGCTCAAAAATGGCAGTTGCTTGTTGGTTGAGCCATGGTTTAGCGATGGTCAAACAATGATTGCATGCATAAGAAAATTTAAATCCAAAGGAAATAAATGTTTTCTTATTTGAATGCAAGGAAATATGTCTACAAAACAAAGCTAATCTTGGAATACCCAACTTAACAGGCACCGCGTAGCAGGGGGGCAGGGGGGCTGCTAAAAATATCAAATATTAAGTAATAAACTACCAGGAAAGCCCCTTTTTAAAAGGTTTTAGCTCCCACTTCTTTAAAACCCCCACCGTCTCAAAGCTCCCTGGTGCCTGCTTAATAATGAAACATATAACCATGCAAAAAATTACTTATAGGCAAAAATTTCTTAGTAGGAAAGGAAGAAAATACCAGGATTTTAAACAGTGGAGATTTCTTGTAGGGACATAGGGGGTGGAGCCCATCTTTCTTGTTAGAAATTTTCTTGACTTTGAAGGGGGCAGGGGGCTTGATCTTGCTTTTGAATTTAATTTAAAAATTCTTTGCCATTTTAAGAAATGTCAATTAATAAATTGACCATGGTTAGCAATGGGTCAGCAATGGTCAGGCCAAATTTTCATAATACATTTCAAATATAAAAAAAATAATTTTTATATGGCTTAAAAACAAGGAAATATGCCCAGAAAACAAATATAGTAGAAATCAAACTATTTAATCTAAAAATTCTTTGCCATTTTAAGAAATGTCAATTAATAAATGGACTATGGTTCAGCGATGGGTCAGCAATGGTCAGGCCAAATTTTCATAAAACATCTCAAATTCAAAGAAAATGATTTTTCTATGGCTTAAAAACAAGGAAATATGTCCACAAAACAAATAAAGTAGAAATCAAACTATTCAATTTAAAAATTCTTTGCCACTTTAAGAAATGTCAATTAAAAAATGGACCATGGTTCAGCAATGGGTCAGCAATGGTCAGGCCAAATTTTCATAAAACATCACAAATTCAAAGAAAATAATTTATCTATGGCTTAAAAACAAGGAAATGTGTCCATGAAACAAAACTAGTGGATATCAAGCTGTTTAATTTAGAAGTTCTTTGCCATTTTATGAATATCAGTTGATAAATGGACCATGGTTTAGCAATGGTTAGACCATGTTTATGTAAAACTCTTGCCATTCAGAATAAATGAAGGAAATTAATAGTGAGACAAGGAAAATATAATCTTTCAATTTGAAGGTATCAGAAACCAAGCACATAAACCCCCCCTATTGACTGAGTTGTGTCTTGAGACATGGACCATGGTCTTGACATGGTCAGACATGGTTACATGGAAAATGATAAAAAATACAGAAAACTGTTACTTTTTCTTATATTTCTATTGAGGATAACTTTTTAGACAGTTGAGGATTCATATTTTCCAAGAACCAACAAAATAAAATCATTACAGGCAAAATCTTCTTTCATTGCTCAACCATGGTCACTAACCATGGTCAGCACTTGTCAGGATCACGGCTCAACCATGGTATGACCATTGCAAACTATGGTTGGGCCATGAACCATGGTTGGGTTTTCGCAGGGGTGGCTGCTGCCTTACTGTGCACCATTCAAGTCCCCTAGAAATCAATACTGGATAAGCCAATGCTGTAATATGCAGCATGGCTAATAGGGGCTCATTGATTGGGTGGCTTAGGGGACTCAATAAAGGTCCGTCGAAATAGCCAGATTCTACATTTGCTAATTGATTGTTGATTGAAACTAAATTTGTGCTAGAGTCCCCTTTTTTTATATCATAAAGATATTTGAAGTGATTCCAAATTGAGAAAAAAAGGAAAATATAAAATAAAAAGCGGTTTTAAAGATTAAATGTAAATCATAACTGGTAGCGGAATTCCACCAAGAAACTTATTCATTCAATGAATCATTGGTTTAGAAAATACAGTTGTGCATTTGATGATGATGTTGACATGTTTAACGAATGAAGAAACTGAAACTCTAAATAGCCTTTACAGAAACTTTCTGCATCTATCATTTTCGTAACGAACAGTTTAAATACAACTATCCAGATACGGAACCCGTCCTGACACAACGAAATTAATGACCAAAAATTTCCTTGTCGTTACACTTTTTTAAATGAGACACCACTGTTTTCCATTGCAGGATTTTATTAAAACTCGAATTAGACATACCAACTGACACCTGTGCAACTTCTTGGGTAGTGACCTTTTGAAAAAATCGCTATCAAATCCAGGCGAAATAACAAACAAAAATTGGGAATTAAGGCCTATTTTGGACTTGTCTTGTGTCGCAGTGGCGGTAGGAGCATTAATGGCAGCGCTGAATTAAAAAAATGCAAAACAATATTCGAAAGTATACGTTACCTTTGCATCAGTAAATGTTTAACTTGAAATTTTCCTTATTTTACCATGGCATTACGAAAGAAATCAAGTATTTTCATTGCTAGCAGCTCACCTTCACATCTGCCTATTATGATGCCACCTCCTTCGTAGCAGTTAGTGTATCGAAATCAGCGTCGATGCAAGACACTTATCCAACAATTATAACTGACTAATGGCTACTAATGGCATGATTAAAACAATCTTTTGGAGGCACAAAACTTGAAAATGGCTTTGGATAAAGCAAACATTTGAGTAAATTAGAGCTTTTCATCTGACACCCTTCAGAGTTTAAAACGTCAGAACATAGATCGAAAACTCTACTCTTAGGAAATATATATACCCAGATGTTAGAAATAGCGAGCACATGACTGTAGAGGTTGACCAATCAGTGCCGCTTGCCTATTGAGAATGTTACCAATGGAGTCCTAAGGCCTGGTTCAAACGTCGCGCTTCTCATGTGCCGAACCTAACTCGAGAATTAAGTACATGAGGGGCGCGACGTTTGAATCAATTTGGTACGGCAGATTTAATTAGGAGCGGCAGACTAGTTTGGATCGGCAGAGCTTGCCGAGCTGCACGGCTCCAGCACGGCACGGTTTCAAGCGTCGAACTTGTCATGTACCGAACCTAATGCATAATTATATTTAATTCATTTTCTTTCACAGAAATATTTTCTTTCTTTGAGGGCGCATGCGTTTCAAATAAATATTTGAGATTGTGCGCCTTAACCAAGATACTTCATGTAACAATCCTAAAACCCGTTTGGCGCGACTTGATTAAGTTCGACGTTTGAAACGGGAGTCGCGCTAAAGGTGCTCAAGTGTCGCTCCAAACAGAGTTAGGTTCGGCACATGAGAAGTGCGACGTTTGAACCAGGCCTAAGGTGAAAACGAAGTCCTTTGTCTACACAATAGCGTCTTTTCATGTTTATGTAGATAGATTCCAAAACTGCTAGACTGAGCGACGATCGGGCTTTACCAATAATCCAAAACATGTCGCCATTATAGTTTTTTTGCATAATCTGGGTTTTCAAGTAAATGCTGCCCGATAGCAGGATCGCAGGTTTTAGTTGTAATTTTCAGATTTGCAAGACCGAGGTGGCTGTTCTCTTTGGGGACGAGTTTTTGTTTCTAATACTAGGCGGAACATGTTGTTTTATTCTGTCCTCCAATCTTTGGGTAGTGCGTCCTACGTAGCCAGAATCACACTGGCAAGTAAATTCATAAACAACGGAACTTTTTTGTGTGGCAGGAATGCAGTCCTTTTGAATGGACGGAAGGGCCTTTTTCGTACTATAAACAACATGTGGGTTGCCTGCAAAGAAACAATTTGTAATGGCCTGTTTTATTCGACTTTCAAAACGTAGGGAACTATCACCGATCCAGGGTAGTTTGAGATAGATCGGGCACTTTTGAGGACCAAATTTTACGTCAGCCGAGAAATTTCCTATCTTCTCCTTAATGAAAACTGAAAAAAACATCTTCTGGATAGCCGTTCTCCAGAAAAATGTTAGTTTTTCTGAAGTCCCGAGTCGAGTTTAGACATGGCACAAATCATCAGTGCCCTATGTGTAAGCGTTTTGATGAGGCTGATTTTTCTTTGTTTTGGGCAAAACGAATTCCATCGAGTGTATAACCCTGAAAATGTGGGCTTACGGTATACACTAGTGAGAAACCCAGTGCCAGATTTTTCAACCAAAACATCTAGAAATGTCAAGGAATTATTTTCTTCCTTTTCAAATTCAAAGTGTAGGGCTGTGTGAAGGCGTTTTAGGAAAGTATCACACTCAGTCTTTGTTTTGAAAATGGTATATGTGTCATTCACATACAGAAAATAAACACCTGGCTTTTGGTCGCAGTCAAACAAACGCTCTTTATGAAAGCCGACAAAGATATTGGCCAAGGCAGGTCCCAGAGGCTACCCATAGCGACACCATCCTTTTGTTGGTACATTTCATTGTTAAAACTGAATTCAACTGAACGTGTTGCAGTTTGCATCAGTTCAATGAATACTTCCTCTGGGAATGGTGGGTTCTTAAGCTCGCTCCGGTACAAAGCGTCGGCACATATTGTGATGGTCTGATTAACGACAATGGCATGATTAACGACAAAAAATATGCAAGCAAGGCCTTGTAAAATAATTTGTATAAATTTGCATTTGTCATCATAAATTCCACACACCGCCCGACGCCCACAACTGACTATTAGCGGAAATAATCTTTATTGGTTTTTATGAACGAAGAATGAGTACATATGTATAGGAGTGGGGCACCCTGTAGGTAAGTAAGTAAATATGTAAGTAAGTAAATATGTAAGTAAGTAAATATGTAAGTAAGTAAATATGTAAGTAAGTAAATATGTAAGTAAGTAAATATGTAAGTAAGTAAGTAAGTAAGTAAGTAAGTAAGGAAGTAAGTAAGTAAGTAAGTAAGTAAGTAAGTAAGTAAGTAAGTAAGTAAGTAAGTAAGTAAGTAAGTAAGTAAGTAAGTAAGTAAGTAAGTAAGTAAGTAAGTAAGTAAGTAAGTAAGTAAGTGAGTGAGTGAGTAAGTAAGTAAGTAAGTAAGTAAGTAAGTAAGTAAGTAAGTAAGTAAGTAAGTAAGTAAGTAAGTAAGTAAGTAAGTAAGTAAGTTAGTAAGTAAGTAAGTAAATGAGTAACCAACGAAGCGACACGGTTTCTGTAGCAGAATGCTACGCGAAGAATTCCTATTTTCCTCAAATTTTAATTGTTGAAAGGACGTTGTACAAAACAAAGTAGGATTGGAGAACCGTTCATTTTTGTCTTCAATTACCAAGCTCTAAATTTCTTTGGTTCTGGTAGCATTGTGTTCCCAGTTGTTTGTTTGTCATCTCATTTAAAATCCTATTCACTCTAGCTTAAAAAGAACTAATCTTAATCGAATATTGAAATTACTAACAATGTATATTCCATATGCAAAGTTTAGTTACTAGCTTTAGCTACAAACACTACAGCCGCAGGTTGGCCCATCCAGTTGCTTTATCAGTCTCTTAAATGTTTGAAAATTGAATGATTGCAGCTAAATTAATTTATTTAGATAAATCATTTCATTCCAAATTTGTGGTCCTAACGATTTGACCCGAAAGTAACTTGGTTTGGCTCTTTGCTGACCTTGTTGTTAGTTTGAATCTGAAAATATTCTGCATAAAAGGAGGAGCAAGGTAAATGAATCATTGATATGCGGTGGTATGGAGAAAAACAAATAAACAAAACAAGACATAGAAACCAATGGGCCTATATAAAGAAATAAAGATATATTCATATATAGATATATTCAAGAATATACAAGCTATATAAAGATATATTCAAGAAATAAAGATATATTCATATAAAGAAAAAGATCCCTTATTTATAGGTTAAATAGGGTTGGATCAAGAACAGATCTTTGCAAAGCATCCGAAAGTACAAGCTATATTATGTACCATACGTGTTGTTAATACGCACTGACTGTTGCCTACTTTTCAGGGAAGAATAGATGTAAACAGGTGCATCTTCATGAAAACCATTTGCGGGATACAGTTGAATATTTTTGAATGTCCGTCAGAATGGCCCCCACAATGTTATCATTCTCAAGGCTATTTATCCTTTCTTCGATCATTCTTACCAGGGCATGTTTTTTTATGTATTGCTGTCTATATGCTGATATAAACTTTGAAAGACAGCGATCAAGATGCGGAGTCAGTTGAACTTTGACTATTTTCCCATTGATTTTAGAGAAAGCGCTCAACAAACAGACGGGACAGAAGCTTTCTAGTATTACGAACTGGTTCACCCTTATCTAACGGAATGAAATTACGGCCGCACGTTTTCCTTTTTTGGAAACATACATTTCTAAAACCAATCGTTTATTGCATCTGTTATGGGTATAGTCAGTTCTTGGAAGCTAAAAGCAAAAGTTTAGGAGGAATTTGCTCCTCCCTAGTGGACTATGTTCTAGCAACTTTCTTACTTCGATTGGTTCAACTGCAGAATATGAAAAATTTCTGGATTTTTAAGTATATCTAGGATGCTAGAGTGGTTGGCATAGTAATGGAGAATCAGTTTCACGATAATTCTGTCACTAGTTTGTTTATTTGTGTCTACTGGCATTGTGGCTTTTTCTTACTTGATCATTTGACAATGTTGATATAATGTTCATTAGAAGTAGTAATGTTCATCAGATTTTTCTTTAATTTTTTCTGCAGGCCAGATCTGTTGTAAATTTGAACACGTAACATCAAATTATGATTAATTTAAATTTTCAGTATTGCATAATGTCATAATAACTCAATCTTTGAACTTCACATCTTCTTCTCCAACGAATGCTCCAACAGAAACTATAAATATAAATGGTAGGTCCTATCTCTATGTGCTTACAGTAATTCTAACTATAAGTAGCTTTCTTTCGTTACTGCAAATCTCCATTACACTCTGTGAAATGTACAAAAGGCTCCGTTTCTTGTTTTCCTGTCAAACTTTGCATATTTGGTCATGGTGTATTTATTGATGTTTGAAAAGCATTTGCCTTTTAAACATGGGCATTTTAGGGTACCAAAGGAAATTCGCTTGAGTTGCTAAAGTTAAAACGTTGTGCAACTCAGAGATCAGTCTATGGACTATTTCTTCTAATTGAGGATAGAAACATTGTAAATTCAAACTCTTTGTCAATGATAGTATTATATTCATGTCCGAACAAGTTGACCAGCTTATCAAGAAGGTCAGAAAAATCCTTTATCAATTGAGATTATGCAGAAAGATGGCTAAATGTACCTTTGCCTCAAAAAAGAGACGGTACCATGAATGTCTATCAGTAGCTCCGCAATCTCAAGACCATTTCGCTACTGAACCAATCCTATTTTTACAGACACTTTCACTATTATGAAGTTGTCAATTTCCGCGTATATCGTTTTAGCTGAGCACCAAACAAAACTCTTTGAGAAGAACATGGTCAAAAAACCCTTTATCGTATCTGTAAACCAATAAAATTTTCCTTCAATAATGGGATAGTTGTAATAATCTTCTGGTTTTTTAAAATTAATGGATCGGCCTCTTTCTTTTCAGAATGATCTTCATTTGCATCTGTAATATTCTGATAAGACTGTGCTTCCTATCTGGTGTTCCAGCCCCTTGCCCAATAGTGACAGAAATTGACAATAATGATTGAACTTCCAATCTTCTTTAATCTCAATTCTACCCGGAGTTGAGATAAACTGGCGTCATTGCATTTCAGAAATACGTCAACTACTGACTGGACTACATAGGTATGACGATTTACATAACTAAAAAACCTAGTTCTATGGATCCAGCTGTAAGACCAAGACCCTGTCTTCACTAAACACTTTGGTAATTTGTACCTTTAAAAATAATAATAATGTTAATGATAATAATAATTATAATAAATTTAATAGAAACAGTAAATTAAAGCAGTAAAAGCCAGTTAATATAGACAGTAAAAACCAGTTTTTTGGCTGATGAGTCAAAAAGATGTTGAAGTAACAAAGATCTTAGCTAAAAAGATCTATCTTTATTCCGTAAACGTGAGAAATTTCAGAACACTTCAAATTGTGAAATGATCGTTCGTTTATAGAACTTTCCGTAATTCTGCTTTCTTTTGCTGTAACTTATTTCAAACTTTTTAGATTTGTTCTGGTTAGACTTGTTTTTTATTGATTATTATCAATTTATTTAGTTCTTCATTTGTAATAAAGTCCATACTTTAGATTAATATTGATATTGTATTTAGACTGAGAGCCATTTTGGCCTAAAGATCTATTTAGAAAAACAAAAATTAAACATCATTTACAGGATGATATATTTAATTAAGATTCATTAGCTGCTATCAAAAGCCCTGTTTAAAAAGCAAAATTAAAGTTGTCAAATGCGAATTCTAAAAAAATGCCTTAAATGTTTTTGCAATGTGAAATTTCTTCAGGGACCAGACTTTTTTCATACCATTAATACTGTTCGGCTTGCAGTGGTAAGCTACTGTAACAATGCCAGGTCACGTTTGGGTTCTTTTTAAATGACACAATTAAACTTTTTCTTACCACTGTTACATGTTGTCATAATTTCTTTCTCTGTATTTCCTCTTTAAAACATCACAACATTTGTCATACCGATCGTGACAATCTTTTTCAAGGACGTTTGTGTTTTTAAAAAGAACAGTCCTTCCTTCAAGCTTGTTTAAAAAGCACCTTCTTTGCAGTTTTTTCTGACTTTATTTTCTGAAAATATTTCATTGTAAGTGTACTATCTGTCTTTGCCAGTAGTTGGTTATGTTATAATTGGAGAAGGGAATCGGAGTCCAGGAGTTGGCCCTCGTCCAACAGCATTAGCTGCTTCAAAAAAACAGTATGTGCACTAGCTTGATTTTTAATTGGCTGTTTTCGCAGATACTATCTATCTAACAGATCATTTTCGGTCAAAGCTAATCAATTCATGCATATTCATCACATTTACGTCGCAGATTTATCTTTCATGAATCAGTCTTTAAAATCAATTACCACCAAAACTAATCAAATATGGCAAATCTGCTTAAAAATGTATATTCACGTCACATAAATGATTGATGCAACAAAACATTCAAATAATAAGCTATTCTTTCAGGCAATTAATTTCACAGCGAAAGCATGCAAAATATTGCTTATTGGGTATTCATTCATGAATGCCTATACCCTGGGTAACAGAGCCGCAAAAATTGGCAGGAGAAAAACAAGAGGCAGCAGAAATTGAGAGCTTTGATTGGTTCTCTGCCGCGCTAATTTTTTGTTGCAATTCTCATTTATTTTGCTGCCGTTAATTTTTGTGGCTCTGGTACCAGGGTAAAATACATACCTCTTTGACTATAAAGAGGGTTATATGGTAAAATAGTACTGTTTAAGAATTTGTGAAGAATTTTGAATTTCAAACCTTTTGCACAAATTGAAAATTTTCCCAGGGCAAGGCATAATGTTCTTAGCGTCTCAGGCCCCAAATCTAGCTCATTGGCCAATACAAGCAAGACATGCACTTAAAAATACGCATCAGCAATTATTCGATTGCAAGTAGCTCACCGAGTAAGTAAATCATATCGAAATTCTTCTTTATAAATCTATTATGTTGATCGGAAGATAATCTTGTATATGCGACAAGTCTAAAATAAGAAATTGTCCTATAAAAATTTTGCGATGACCCCTCCTTCAACATTTTCAAGGTTAGGTTTTCCTTTGGTCATTCACAAATTTTGGTCAAAGGTTTCAGAATTGAAATAAATGTTTGGAATAAAAGGAATTAATTCTAACAGAGATTGCCAAGACTGTCTTGCTATCTAATCTAATTTTAAAAACTGAGAAAGCCACAACCTCATAATCAACAACAGCAGCCTCAATATTTTCACTTAAACAGAATATTTCTATTCGTTCCAAAGGTTACCCCAAAATCCATATTAAAAAAACTTAGTTTTTTAACAGGTTTTTCTTATATCAGATTTTCACCAAATTTTCTAAAAGATTTCAATGAAAAATCTAACAGATTTGGGGGATTTAATCTTAGCAATGCTAGAGCTAGATTTTCAGAATCAGAGATCAGCAAGCAGACATTATCAAAATGACTTAAAGTGGAAAGTATTCATATCAATCAACTGGATGTAAAATTTATTTTCAGTATAAACGGAATACTTGAATTTTGATAGGGGATTCAGCAAAACAAGAATAAAGAGACAAAGATGAAAACTTAGAATGCAACAAATTTAATTTTCATAACATTGAAAATTATTAACAATGTAATCTTTATCATGTTATTTTTGCTCTATACATGGCAAGTAATCATTTGTTCTACATTTAGCAGAAATTTCCAAAAAGATTGCGTCCTTTAACTGAAAGAAATCAGTAATTCAAAACATCTGACAATGATCCTAAAATACAATCCGTCAACCATCTAGGGGTCGCTCATTTGAAGAGATCTGGTCGTTTAGTTTGTAAATTTCAAACGTTAAATACATGTTACCGACTATTTTTCTTTTCTAAAACGTTCCGCTGTAATCATCATTTTGACATTTGATTTAAAAGTCTTTTTCTTCATTTCTTGTTTTGTGGCGTATGCAATATCTTCATCATCAGCTTCCAGTAGATCATCTAATGTATCTATCAAATCATCCACATCTTCCGCTATTTCATCATCATCTTCACTTTTCTTCTTTGTTCGCCTTTTATTAATAATACCATTACTAAGAAGTTTCTCATGCATTTCTTGCAAGTCAACAGCTGGCATGCCTGGTGCAACCATTTCCTTTGACAACTTTTCTAGTTCTTCGTTGACGAGCAGAGAATCTTCAATCAATCCACTATTAGTTTTGTCTTCATCTTCACTTTCAGAAGAATCTTCGTCGTCCTTTATCACCAGTTTACTGACTGTTTCATTTTTTAAATTTTCTTTTTTGCCACTGTCGCTTCCTTCATCACTATCGTTTTCATCTTCACTTTTATCATCTGAAGAATCTTTTTCATTGTCACTGTCACTAGAGCTGTCACTTTCTTCATCCTTGTCGTCATTCTTCCGAACCTTATTACTGGACTCTTTTTGCTTTGTTTCCTCTTTGCTTTTTAAGCTTTTCTTAGAAACAATGATCTTAGGTTTCCCTTTTGTCTGGGAAACTTTTGTTTGCTTTTTCCTTTTCGCTTCATCAGGTTGCTCCTTCTCGCTGTCACTCTCTGTTTCACTCGACGAGCTTTGGTCACTTTCATGATATTTAATCTTTGTTCGAGATCTCTCATCTCTTCTCTCTTTATCGTCTGTTCTCTCAACAATTTTGTTGACATTCGCTTGCTGTTTTGCAGGTGTAGTGACCGTTTCACGCGGCGTTAAAGATCTTCTCTTTGCACTTATCGTATCTCTTTGCACTTCGCGTGAAGGAACAGTTTTCTCATAAGATTCCCGGCATATTGAGTTTGCACTTCCAGTCCTTCTTATTTGAGGCAATGAAACCTGCGGTTAAACAATTCATATGAGAACTCAGCTGATCTTTACAAATTTGAGCAGTACTGTAGCTAGGGGGCAAAGGGGGAGCGGCTGCCCCCTCCTAATGCTCAGAAAGTTGATGCTTGAGAAAAATGCAAATCTGCAATTATGTTCTTACCACAGAGGGGTAAGGGTGATAATTTAGACATAAGGAAATCGTTTTAAACGACTGCAAGAAAATGACTGCAAGAAGTACACTGAAATGTATTTGAAGCAAATCTGAAGGGCATTGTCCTGCGCTTTCTTGAAACAATCCCGATAAAAGACAACACTGACAGTCAAAATGTTGAAAGTCTGAGAAAAAAGTTTTGGAATAATTGCCAGGCTAGATTCATCGACAGTTAGATTTTCACTTTTCTGAGTATGTAGAGCAAATATTTTTGAGCAAAATGTTTCAGTCACACGCTTGTGTTGAGCTGGTATGTTTCATTTCAAAATATTTTTATGATAAAGAACCATAGCAAAGCAAGGATTTGAATGTCCTTTCTCGATTCCTTCCAGGTTTAACTAGTTGTATCATTTAAGAATGATTTAAGAATCAAGGCTGAGAATAAAAAGGGCATCATGCTATTCACGAACTATTTATAATGTATTTCAGTTTGAAAAAATGATCAAAATAGGCATCAAATAGGTCCTTTTGATTGAAAATATTATGCTAATGTTTGTAGAGTTGGGTAATCTTAAAAACTAGATATTGAAAATCTTGTGAAAGATTTTGCAGGTTTTGCTCCTAAAAAAATGGACTTGGTTTGAAGTATTTGAATACGAAGTTTTTTTTAAGATATTTGCTTACAACTTTGAAGATTTAGTTTTCTCACGTAAAACTTCCCTGCATGACACGATTCAGAGTGTGAGAGTAAATGTGAAGTGAAAAGCCAGTTGTCACATTAATTATCGAAAAGAAATATAGAAGGGATTAACCTTATCGGCTGCTTCGTTATTCAGAGTATTTGCGCTCTTGTATTTGTTTAGTATCGAGGCGGCTGCAAGCCTCTTGTTACGAAAATCTGATGCAGGCAAACTAGCTCTTCTCAACAAGTCTCCAGTGAGTTCAGGTTGTCGGTAGGAAACTTCTGACTTCGGTCTTGGAACATCTAGCCTATGGACACTGACTTCCTCTGCATTCTTATGTCTGGCAGATTTAACTTGTCTCTTGGCAGCAGATGTCAGACAAAGCCTGGGTGAAAGACTTTTTGTTGCATCATTTGTTTCAACAAAACTTTGATATCCCTGGCTTCCCCTTCTCTGTGATGTCAAGTTTTGCGACTGTAGATTCTTAATTAGGTCTGCGGCTAAAAGTCCTTTGCCACTCAGGTTTTCTGCTGACTTTACTATACCTTTGACTGTTTTTACATCTTCTGTTCTTAAGGCTGATTGAGTTGAGCCAGTTCCAGTAGCGGCTTGGTGTGTCAGGCCGGAATTTGGTCTGTTCCTTGTTTGCAATTTTTCAAGAAGGAACGAGGCTTCTCTTTCCCTTTTCTCGATACTAATTGCAATCTTTTTCTTTATCGGGGAGTCAATTTTTGATACCGATGAACGGCGTGATTTGGTTTTCTCTACATCCATACCCTAAACACTTAATGGGACAAGAGTAAAATGAAAACATTGAAAATGGACATATTACCTATATAATATGATAGTGAAACTGAATGCGGCCCAGTATGAATGCACATTTAACAGTTTGGACGCTAACTTTTTACTGCATGATCATTCGAAAAATTTATATTCACAATTAAAAATCAAAATAAAAAGTTAGACATTAGTTACCGGGTTATATGAAGTATTCATGAATTAGTGCTTCAAATAGGTTTTGCAAAGATATCATGTTACAATTTCCAGGTGTTGGTGTATATTAAAGATTTAAATTTTTGTTTATTTGCCAATTATATTTGCTAACAATTCTAATAGGGCCAATGACCTACTTATTACCAAACCATTTCAAAAGTAGAAAGATATCAAAGCTGCTGCAAGCTGCTTTATGTATTTCAGTCAATCTAAACTTGCGCCTGTTTATGTTCAACATACATTAACAGTAATTTATGACACTTTTTTCTGATGTGAAATCCAAAACAAAGAAACTACTAAGAAGGATTTAATCAGTGACTGCCAAACAGAATCTGGAATATTGCAACATAATATTGCCGTGAGAATGCTTTAATGTTAAAATGTCGTTGCTTATTATGGTCTTCTACGACAACTAATTTCTCTACGTGATATTCTTGAAATAGTGCATGCGCTCAAAATTGATCTGTTCACAACACACCAACTAATCAACACCAAATGCAATGCCAAAACGACTGCAAAATTTGCCGTAAGAAATCTTGGAAGATTTTCATCAATTGTTAATACGAGAAAAGTTTGCTGTCTTGAATCACAATCAAACACGGACAGACCCGTAAAGCAGTCATAGTTACCTTTTTTCTGAAGAGTGCCTGGACAACATCCTGGTAAAATCCTTTTGTGACAAGAGGAACATTTCAAGCAATACTTTCAAGCCATCAAAACGGTTTGCTTTGAAAGACCCAGAAAACATCAAAATCGTCGGTTGACAACCAAGGATTTCAAAGCGCATAAACTTAAACCGGTATTTGTTTGTAAAGACGACCTGTCTTTATCTTTGCCTGATACCATGAAATGTCCGCACCTTTAAATCGCTATTCACAGACTCAAGCAAGCCACCAGTATACAAAACCGCATCATATTACAAATTTTATTCACAAGCAGCTACCAAACATGACTATGTATGTGACTCCAGCCTAATGAGTCAGATGGGATGGCCTGATAAAGCTCACTGCCACCCCACACCCCAACCCTTTAGCAGCAACCAGATACCAGTACGTCACCTTAAGTGTCAGATAATATAAAGGACATAAAATTAAATTGCAATTTTGTAGAGAGAATTATCATTCATCATAACCAATCCGAAAATACTTCCAACTTTTTTCAAAACAAAATGAGTGTTGCATGGGAGTTTTTCTTTCTTTGGCGCCTGCTATTTCTGTCTCGTGTGTCGAGACCTATAATCGAAGCTGTTCTTAATAGCGTAGTAACTCAAAAACTATTGCAGTTAGAGAAACCGATGAAATGCTAAAAATTAAAATTACATTTTTTCTCCTTTTAATCTACATCGATGATCTCCCAAACTGCGTTTTAGAGTTCATAGTGCATAAGCTTATAGTCCACTGACATAAGCTTAGAGTTCACATCTGTAAACCATACCCGGCCTTTGGGTCCATGTGCACAGGGCTAACAACGTTTTCGCTTTCTGGTAGCAAGCCAATGACCAGAATAAACTGATTTGGAAATTTTTTCAAGACACATGCAGAAGATATAGAGGACCAGTTTCATTTAGTTCAGTTCAACAAACAATGTCAAAGTGCGTAGATGAAATGGAAATATTTATTTGAACTAGGTACGCTCCACTGAAACGTCCTTCAATCAAGGGTGGAAGGTTAAACCATGATATTCAGTATTTTTCAAACCTCAATGTAGAAACTCGTAAAATCTTACTGCCAATGTCACCTTCTAGAAGCACTTCAACATTCATGGAACAACTTCTTCAAATCGTCGTTGCTTAATATTTCAGTTTCAGATAAGTTATCCATTAAATTTTTGTTTAGACCTACGCGTTTTAAGGCAAATTCGACGCTTTTTTGCTTGATTCTCTTGGTTGCCATGCTAACTGAGCGTATGTTAGTTTGGCCTGCCTGCGTAACAAAGTACCATTCTTTGATTAAGTCGACTCTAAAGTAATTGCTCGATGCCTCTTTTTTTATTAAGTCATATCGGCTAAGCACAGTTCTATTCCATCCAACAACCATTTCATCTTCAGCAGCTTTCTCTCCTATTGGCCTTTCAGGATGATTTCTTTGTAGCTGCTGAACGCAATTTCAGCAACTGACTCAACTGAACATTTGATTGACGAAGCAGCTAGTGCTCAGAGGCTCACCTCGATTTCATTTCAAAGTCAATTTTTCTCTTGAAAAAACCTGGATATAAATTCTTTGCTGTTAGTTTTTGCAAGCTCCTTCTCATTCATGCTTCTTATTACTACTTCACTTCACGTATCTAACTACTTCACTATCCTAAATTGTGTCTCGAGCATCCCTGCACCCAATCCTTTTTGTTCTCGATTAAATCAAAATCATCTTTGAAGATAAAAAGTTTCTAATTTGTTTAGTTATTAACGTTGACTCAAAATTTTGGCTGATCCATAATTTATAAAAATGACCTATTTACACCATTTTATTTCTTTTTCTCGGACGATTTTCATTTTTGCAGTGATATTCGTTAAAGGTGACAGATTTGCAGTAACATAGCAGGCAGACTATTCGGCACAAAATGAGGCCAGATTATCCAGCTGAATTACTTATTTTCCGTTCCGGCCATATCTCGAAACTCAAGATCTCTCTTTTCATTTTCTCCTTTTATGACTTTTTTCACTGTCACAATTTTGTTCTTTCTTCCACATTTTTTCCTTATTACGCTACCAAATGCAGTCCCTTTCCCTTCCTTTTCCTGTTTCTTTCCCTTTTTGTTCCCTTCTCTTTGCGTTCGTTTCCTTTTCTGTCCTGTTTTGTTTTCCCTTTGTCCTCTTCTTCCTTTTCCTTCCTGGAACATATAAGGATTTCAGTTACATTCCTGGCAGCGCCGCTACCATGTTACTTCTTTTTGGGCCCTGCACGTGCGCTTAATAAAAAGCGCGAAAATCCTTCTCAATTTAGATAATAAAAATAAAGCATAGAGCTTCCAGAGGTCTAAAAAGGTTTAAAGACCAGCTAACCTGACGGAATTTTTTCAAAAGCTTTCCTTGTGAATACGTTAGAAAATTAGGTTTTCAATGGATGATGCTTGTTGGTAAACTGTTTCATTTTGCTTATCAATTAGTGATATTCAAGATAAAGTCAAAGCCCTGAACATACTTTTTGAGGCTTCTTTGCTTCTCATAAAGACTTTCAGTGGCCGTTGGTGCATCGGCTTAAGTCCTCAATGATGTTTAAGTATCGGTGATGCTTAAACTATAGTTCAGCTTTCAATGTTTGGTAGGATATAGATAAACACTTCCCTACGGGCATTCAGTTAACGATTTTGCTGCCGTATGAGAAAAAGTAAGGCAAAAAATGAACTAAAAGAGCCATGGTGAAAGGCGTAGTGAAATCAAAAAAGCCATAGTGAAAGGTGAAAGATGAAAAGCCATAGAAGAGAGAGAAAGGATTGTGTTCTCTGGCAATGTTTTCTGTAAGCAATTAAAGCCACGCCCCCGACCAGGTCTTTTATAGAATGTGTATAATCAAGGTTCCAATGCTACAAGCAAATTACACTCAATGCCAACTAGATAGCCACAAACTCCCATTAGGGGGTACAGGTAATAAGTAGAGTGAAGCAAGAATTATAGAACATGCAATCCATTCTGTTTTCTTTTTAACACATCAAGGCAAATGCTGCATAAATCACCACACAAGTTCACACCAACACCAACACAAAAATAAACTATGATTAAAATCCATTCTATCACCATTCAAAAGTACCATGTCGCAACGAATTTCGGTGGTCACCTAAATTGCCATTGGTTAAACTCAACAATAGACTATTCTTACGTTTTCCAATCTGGGATCGCTCACCGCTCATCATATTCCTTTTAAAAATATCATTTTAGAGTGTTTACTATACACTATTGAACATTTATAATTTCTATTTCGAGCATCTAAATAAAATAACTAAATAGGTCGCTCTACCAAGGCGACCCCTGACTAGCGATAGCCACAGGAGTGCAAGTAAAATGTTTTACTGAAATATTTTAGCAGAGAAAGCTGCTTTGCTATTGCGTGACCCCTAAAGGGTTCTATATCATTGGATGCATCCGTCTATTTTGAGACAGAGGCTAGCGGTTTTTGTCTTTTCTTTCCGAGGCAAATTTTAATGTAATTCATTTGGGGGTGTAACATAATTCTTGTCTTTACCAAGGCTAACATTACTATTATTCAAGATTCTAACAGAAATCTTGTCATTGCCGAGGCTAATCTTACTTTCATCCATATAGGGGTTATATAGCGTACCCACTTAACAGGCTTAAACTGGGGCTTCTGTTCTAAAACGAGCAATTAATCACTCTTTGGAATGTTATCAATGATATCCCTATAGTTTTGCATTTTCTGAACTAGCTTTGGAGATTCGAGGATATTGCAGCTTCTGAGACATGGGATCTCTCAGTGAATATATAACTTGGTTTACGCGGTACAGAGATTTGCGGTATAAATCCTAGATGTCATGGCTCGTGTGTCAGTCAAATTAGAACAGACTAGGGAGCCATGAGAAAGGCATCCTTCATTTTGCTTTGCATTTTCTATTCGCACTTTTGACCTTCTTTTCTGTACTGGAAAGATTTCATTAGTTTAGCAAGGTTCGTCTACTGAGAGATATTTCCAGCTTTCTCAAAGAGCTCAGTCAGAGTTGAAAGATTGGTTTTTTTCTTGTACACCCCTTCGATAACCTTATTAGTGATGATAAGAGCTGGCAATCCTCAACCCCAATATGATTTTGGTTGCGTAGTTACTGTCGCAACTATTTACCTACAATCAACTGGACAAGACCGAAGCTCTGAAGGTCAAAAATATTGTGTACAGAACTGTAAATGCGACGTCACCACGTATGCTGACGACACAAGAATTTCGCCTTCTGCGATAAACATCAATGAGCTCGATGATCGGCTAAAAGGAATTGTTTCAAGGGAACAAACTGCCACTAAACGCCATAAAGGCGCAGGAAATGGTTGTAGGTTCTCTATCAAACTATAAAAAGATTTATGACAATAAAGAAGCGACCCGCTCATTTTTTATTAATGGCGCTGAAATTGATATCGTTGAAAATTAAAAACTTTAAGATAGCCTTGCTTGGGATCAGAACACGAGATTATTAGACCAGGTTAATTTTGAGATGGGTGCCACCTGGAAGCGCACACATTGCTGTGGTTATTTTCAAGTTCCCACATATATAGGGGTTCAGAAAAGTGATGGTGAACGGTAATCTGCTGGGATCTGAGGTGAATCCCACCCCATGCATTCTTTGATTCTTTATCACGTAATGAGAGAAAAACTCAATAAACAGGCTGGGTAAACCGTAAGATTATCAATCGATAAAACCGTGCATTCTTTCCTACATCAACTCAACAACCAACTACGATCAACAACAAATCCAACTGATTAACAACTTTGGATTAAGTAAATTACACCTAAACAACCAATCAGAAATAAGAATAATGTTAATGGGATTAGTCATATGGCAATTAGTTCAACACGTTTACACATTACCTCAGCAACGATTGTGTTGGCTGCGAAAACTAGAGAAACAGAACTGTAATTAAAGACACATAAACAATACCTTATATATTTACAAAATTTCTAAAGAAAACGTGTGGGAAAATGCTGCGCAGTGGAAGGTTCTCCGACAGGATCTAAGGGGTGAAAACGGGGGTGAAACAGTTAGCACTGAGATGAAATGCCACTGCGAAGGAAAAAATGGAATATTTTCTTTTGGATACAACACAAGTTACATTATTTGCTTCACAGCCTTAGGTAAGACCGTTTCTGTGTATATTCAGTTGAAAACGATCCCTTTTTGCAATTAAAAAGGGCCAAGTGATCAAAATTTACCCTTGACCTTATAGGGAGGTCTTAGCTCTTTGTTGGAAAAAAATCACAATAATGCTGTTCTGAGTATTTTAACGGGTTCTGAAAGAAAAGTATTTGAACCTTTTCGATTAGTTATAGTTATCGTCAAAGTTCAAGTTATCCAAAAAATTATCTTCCGCCTACCTTCTGATGATAAAGATATTTGTCAACAACAGGTGTATTGCGTCCTCGGCACACATCTACGTAAAGAAAAAGATTATATCTTGCGCAAGTGAAAATGGGAATGGCAATGACTATGTTTTCTCTAGAAAAAGAAAAGCCTTGTGTTGGAAGGTGTTGCAGCAAAAAGAAAGGTCTGTAAGGGCATTCATTTTGCATGTCCTGTCCTAGTATGGCAAAAATATCATCATTGTCAAAAGACAGCGATTGAAATGAGGAAGCATCTTTTCGAAATGATGTATGTGAATTAAAAGAGCCATGCAACAATGTGAATCGAATAGGCCTTTCCAAATGAAGATGGATGTACTTTGTTGCAAACTGACGATGTTGTAGTTTGAAGAAAAGAAAGAGTGGCGATTATTGTACAACCGAAGACTAGATGTGTGATTTTATGATTAAGAAGGAGAACATATTTACTCCAAAAACTTCTAAAAAGATGCAAGAGATTGTTTGATTCTATAGAAAATGGACATATATTCATAGCAAAAATATATTTCTTACGTTTAACGACAAAAAGCTTCCACATAAAATCAAGGGTACTTCAGAACTTCATTTTGTCTCATGGATTATTCTAAAGTGGTTTTGTTGCCATTTTGTGAAGTTATAAATCTGATTTCAGCCCTTAGACCCCAGCAGATTACCGTTCACCATCACTTTTCTGAACCCCTACATATGTGGGTACTCGAAAATAACCACAGCAATTTGCGCGCTTTCATGTGGCACCTACCTCAATATTAACCTGGTCTATATTATGAAGTAGAATATCTCTTGCTCTAGGGCTTTTGAAATTTCCAGATAATTCATATCTAAAGCAACTTCAATCAAAAAGTATCATGGGATCGTAGGGCCACATTACCGCTACAGTTTCTTTGATTGAGGAAGCTGCGATGAAACTAGATTGCAAACCTTACGAAAATTGCAAAATCGACCTGCAAAAAATTGTCACCAATAGCAACTATGATAAATCTGCCGCAATATTGACCAAGAAACTCAATTTCTTTTATTATTGCAAGCGTTACTTTTATTATAAAAAGCGAGAAGACTGATTTTAAATACAAAGCATTATTAGATCTTGCGCCATGCTATCTTTCAAGCCTCTTCATGAAAAGCTCAGCAAGTGAAATCAATAAGAATTTGCGCAATGCCACTGTCAATGTTCTGGTTCCATTGAATAAATCTTGCAATAGGCACAAGGCTATATCTTTCCGGGGTGCACAGACTTGTAATGAATCATCTTTAGATGTCATACAGGTACTCTTCATACAGGAGCAATTTATCTTTCTCGGACTTACTTTATAGCTGTTTCCTGTACTTTACATATAGATTTAATATTAATTAATTCCTTTGGTTTCTAACAATGGAAAGTTTTGATGCGCTTCCCCCTTGAAAAGCAGTCCTTTGGACTGATGGGGCTACTGTTTTAAAATAAAAATGAAATGCCCAAATGAAAATTGATAAATATCTCTACTTAAAAAGAGTGAAGACAGATGTGAGCATGGATCAGTAGTCAAGGTACTGGTCCAAGGGTTCGAATCTCTGCCACGAGCAGTCTTTGTAATATGAAAATAGGCCGCGTGCGGCATTTCGCACGCCTTGGTTACTTTGCGCGTGCGATGGCGTGCGATGCGCACCGCTTTTTATCGGTTGTTTCTCATCCCTGTTGTCAAGAACTGGGTGCTGCTTTTGAGGAGACCTTTTGTGTTATAAACTGAACGGAAACCAAGGTAATTGACGGAGAAACTGTTCTGGTTCTTTTTAAAGATGTTAAATTTAATTAGTCACTTAAAGAAATCTGGATTGAAAAAAAATTCTATTACCCATAGACCCTACTCAAATTCTATTACCCGTGAATATCTTAGCGGATATTCATAAAAAATATCTTACCGTTAGATCGGTATTCCTTTGGAATTGAGCTAACAATCAAATGAGAAGGTAGAGAAATGACACAAACGTCGAAATGAACACACTTTTTTTGGGCACAAAAACAAGTTTAAAATAATTTGAAAATAAGTACAGTCACCGTCACTTTTCTTCATCAGAGCTTTCTTCAGCTTCCTCCTCCTTATCTAGCTTTGGTTTCTTCGATAAACTGTTGTAATTATCCAGCTTTTGCTTTCTGCATTTCGAAAGATAGATCTTTGTTGCCCTTTTCAAAATATTCTCCCTTTCTTCGTCAGTCCATATAATGTCATTGACTGCGATGCGAAGTCTCATCTCCATAACCCTGTGTGACATTATCTGACAATAATATGCTGAGAATACTGAATGCTCTCTCTACCGATGAATTGGAGCCAGATATTGCAACCATTATCTTTGCCAGAATGCACAGGTTGGGGTACTCGTCTGCCCTGTAAGAAAGCGTATTTTTCCACAGCTTTCTTGCTTCAATCCCACAAGCATTATATTGTACGTATTTTTTGAATGACTTCCATTCCTTGAGAGCTTTCGAAACGTTAAACTTCGTCTCGCTGAGGGGGGAGGGGGGGGGGTTGGAAATAGCTGCAAAAGCAGTGATCTCTGGGACCCCGTAATCCTTGTTGTCGTTCCATTGCTTTCGATCAAACAACTTCATCGTACTAAACACGCCATCAGCATCATCGAAGTAGCATCATCCTTTTCCGACTTGAAACCGAAAATTTCGTTCTTTCCTCAACCAATGAATGTTGCCAGCTCCACTTTCTTTCTTTTCGCCATGATTACCGAAGGACAGAATAATCAATCGAACAGTGAAAACATCTCTTGGATCGAAAATTAAATTGCCGGGTTTTGACAGTAAGCACCAGGTATTGATTGCAGATTAATCCCCAATGTGTCAACTGTTAAGCGATCTTGTCGTATTAACTGTTAAGCGATCTTTTTGACGCTGTTGTTAAATCCCTTATTGGAATACTTTAACAACACCTTGGACAACGACAGAACCGTCTTTGGCGACTTGGAGTTGAGCAATTTTAAAAAAATTTTGTGGCAAATTCTTTGTTTTGCGCGTGCGATGATTAGCATGCCTTGGACAATTTGCGCGTGTGTGGAGGCGTGCGCGTGCGATCGCACGCCTCATATTACAAAGACTGCACGAGTGATAAGGTCTCTGTATAGGAATCACGAGGTATGGTCACATCAAGCGGGAAGGACCAGGACACTGCTCGATAAGCACCGCTTTTTAGCGTCTTAAAACTACCTTCGGGCGCTAGGTAGCAAAATATCAACAAATCAACAGGCAGGAGGAAAGCTGTTCCTTATTGAGAGACCCACAGTGTATGCAGTATCAGATATTCTTGAAATCTTCGATTGGCATTTTTTTAAGCATTGTGAGCTTGGCATCCAACTTGCATTGAATGCACTGGTTTTTAAAGAATAAAGTGACAGCTAGACAAAGATTTTATGAAGGAGACCAAAGGTTTTCAAGAAATTTTGATACATAAAATAAAACAAACTTCCTGAGGTAGTTATGCAACAAAGCTAGAAATAAATAACATGATGAAAATTTGAAACTTGTTCAAATTGGCAAATTCAAGACAGATTAACTTGCAGAGAAAGTGTTGTGGAAATATTCAAAGAGATGAAATTCGAATTTAAATTACAATTAGGATAGCTTACAAGAAAATTTCTTTCAAAATCGTTTTTGTTCGAAATAACAAGATAATACATAAAACCCGCGAAACTACAAAGGAAATTATTTGAATAATACAGTTTTTCAATATATAAATTAATGAGAGCAAGTTGCTTAGATTTAACCCAACATACAAGTTATATAAGGTATCATAATTTATCAATTATCCATGATGCCACAATTTATTGCTATTGAGTAACGTTTTGCCATTTTAAAGTCCCATAATGGCAAGCATATCAGCGATAAATACTTGAACATACCTAATAAATTGTTATTATATTTCATAGAACTCCAACTAATTGATAAAAGACCCAAATTTGCAGGCAACAAGAAAGGCTTTAGAACGTCTGTGGTAATGACATGAGACTTGCATCTGATATTTGATTAAGAATAAATATTCTTAGGGTTCTTATAATCTGGTCTCTAAACTTCAGAATTAGGACGATTGAAGATATCGAAAGAAAAGGTGCATAAGCAGAGTATGAATCCCGTATGGTCATTGATGCAAGTACATAATTTACTAGTTGATAAAAGCCCAAAAATTGAAGGCAATTAGGTAAATGTTTGCTGATATCATTGCAGTTTATCATTGCTTAATACTTTTGAACTGTTCTAAAACAATTTAAAGCCAGTCTTCCCCTCAATGATTGGCCCCTCAATGATTGGGTAACATGAACAATAGGTTTCCCGCCGAAATCGATTACGCTAATCGCTTTGGCTGGCCTAGCTCTGGTAGTGAACGATATTTCAAATTGCGAACAAAATCCTATTTGAAATGGCAAGAAGATTTATCCTACTAGCATTGGGTGGATATTGGAAGCAATTCCTGGAATCAATTCCTGGAATCAAAGATCCGAATCGTTTAATTACCGATCAAGCTCAACACGTGCAACGGTGCGTTAATTTCAATCTAGTGAAAATAGAAGTTGAGCACAATAGGGGACAGATTGGAAAAATCGCAAGACAGGATTTCCCATAAAAAGGGGTGGATCCGATTTGGTAGTGGAATATCGTTGCAAGAGCGCTAAGATCAAGTTCCCTTATATGTTTCTAGGTGATGAGTGAATACCAAGTGAAGACACTTAGTGCAGAATATATGCAGAATATATGCAGAATATATGTGCAAATTTGTGCCCAAAATGATTAAATTCAATTCTAAATATACTACCTCGATGACTGTGCAAGGGCCTTCGATTTCCCATAGGATAAGTAACTTGTACTAATCTTGCTAAAATGTCATTTACCCAGCGAATTCATTGTAGGATTCACGAAAGAAAACCCATCAAATACGCGATGGTCAATGTTTTGGATGAAATTTCTGTCGATTGGTGTCAGCCTCGCAGCTTCCTCGGTGAACTCGGGGTCAAAATTGTCGAATGATCGCTTGGATCGCTGAAATCAAGGAAATTATCAAATGACATCTTAAATGTTCATTCTAAATATCTAAGGATCAACTTGTGAAATAGCAAATTTACCATAACAAATCACCTAATCTCTTTACGAAATAAGACAAAACCCTATTTGACCTTATTTATGAACAACAGCTGAAAATGCCAGTTGCGGATCGAAATAACCCAATCAGAAAAACGCAGGCACACAGACATAATAATATCTTTTTGATGTCTACTGTAATTTTATAAGCCCCCTCGTATAAGCCTCCCCCCCCCCTGGATAACCTCCTATCCAAAAATATCAAAAATTAATAAGCCCCCAAGGGGCTAATTCGAGAATTTACGGCAACTAAAAAATGTTTTCCAATGTCAGAATCCTTCAAAGAAAACAGCCTCCTTTATCTTGTAGGCCTAGAAACACTGTTAAAACAAGTGGTCTAGACACACCGTCAAGCTGTAGGCTAGTAGTCTCTTGCGTCACGCTTGCCTTACAGGAAAAAACTACATATTAAACAGAGCAAGACAAGGCAAAACAAAACATGCCATACCACATTTGGTTTAAAAGGAGGCTGAATCTCTCTATTTGCTAATTTATTCCAATCAATGCGCCGGAAGTACACATGATCCCTAATGTCTTGTTCCCCTGTCTCACCAGATCCTAGTCGTCTTTGTGGATGCTTTGTTAAAAACTAAAAAAGCAGAGAAAATAGATTTAGCCCTGTACACTAAATTTTGAAATCAAAAATAGCTAGCTCTAGAAGTAAAAGGGAAGAGGAGTAGCCCTTTTCGCAACTCTGACTGAAAACTTTAGTAAGAACGAAGGCTTGTAGAATGGAACAGTTTATACTAACGAGCTCTATCGCCATTCCTTTATTCCTTAAATTGGAAAGTGATAAGATAATACAAAGGTACAAAGGCATTTATTGAGCTCTACATTAACCGAAACACAGACAGGTAAATTTCATTGTGAAATAGCACATTCGAACTTGCTTACATTACAATACTGACGAGAATGTCTTGCGAGAACGACGCATCAACAAGAATGTCTTGCTAGGATCTATACTGAAAGCATCACAAATGCAGGAAACAAGCACAAACAAGTCATAATCAAATTAAAACAAACAATGAGTCAGGTGTTTTGAAAACAAATATGCTCCCGAAAAAGTAAAAAAATACACCCAAATACCACTCCTAAACATTAATCTATATACAGCTATTAATCAATAACTATTATTTCAACTTAAGAAAATGTTATTGTACTTACACCCTTGACAATTGATACTGCTTCCTTGGATATTGATCTTGGGAAAGAGACATTCTGTTCTAGAACGGAGTTGAATAGCTCATCTTCGTCCTCTCCATCAAACGGAGGCTGCAAAAAGAGGTTTGTAAACTCATTGTCAGCTGGTGCTTCTGTGTCGACCGAAGCATTTTTAGATGAAAGCACTTTGAAAACAGAAAATTTTATAAATTGAGCAAAGCAGTATAAATAATTAATTGTTTTTCGTGAAAACATCGTGGTTATTTTTACGCAGTTTAATGACAACTTATAAGGAACAGCTAAACAAAGCTAAGGATAATTACCTGCCCTGCCAACATTTCGTAAATAAGAACGCCAAGGGCCCACCAATCAACGCTTGCTCCATATGGTTGGTAAGCAATAATCTACGGGATCAAAGACATCCTAAGGCAAAGCACAGATGGCTTAACTATATTGGACATCAAATGAAAACGTCACAGGAAGCTTGCAACACATGGTACCTCGGTACGGCAGGACACTATCCGCACGTTCACCAATGTGACCAGAATGAGCAAACATGACGCAGTTTCAAGATTTGTGAAATCATTGATAAAGTTATTAAACTTTGTTGCAAACATAATGAAAAAAATGGCTTTAAATTTGATAAAGACACAATGTCGAGAATGAAAGGATATCTTTAGTAAAAGAAAGACATTACTTTACCATCTTCACTCTTAATTTTTAAGCAACATAACTAAGGCCAATGTTGTAACTCAAGGCAAGGTTTTAATGCTTCAAAAAGCAGAATTCTAGACATGACATAAAATTAAACGGTACAGATATATTGACGAAAGTAGTAGAAGGTGAATAGATATTTTCGGACAAAACATAAATAGAGAATAAATAGGAATAGATATACTAACAAAAATAAAGTTAAATGTAATGTTGTGTGGAAACCATTTTTAAAGAGGGAAAAGACACGAATCTTGTGGATGCCTGAAGCTATCGGATGACTGTTGAAAACAAAAAAGGTGACAGGAACAGTCTGTTGCATTGATAAAAAATGCTCGAAAACAAAGCATACCTCTGGAGCAATGTAATCTGGAGTTCCACAAAATGTCCTTGTTGTCTTGGGTGGAAATATGTTTTCTTTGCACATGCCGAAATCAGCAATTTTGATATGGCCATCGCTATCTAACATCACATTGTCTAGTTTCAGGTCTCTGTTCAGCAATAAAAGATAAAAAAAATAACTGATCAATTGGTTTTGCAAACATTTTTCGTCTAAACTCTTCAGGGCATAAAACGTCAGAATATAGATCGAAAATTCTAGGCTAGGAAATATATATATATTCAGTTGTAGATCGAAATAGGCCAATTGTAAAAGCCAGTGCATGACTGTAAAGGTTGCCCAATGACTGCTGCTTGCCTGTTGAAGGCATATAGCTATTTTTGAATTCTGCAACGCCAAAAAATTGTTTGCAATTGTTTATCAAGCGTGCAAACATCATAATGCGATCAAACAGATTGGATGACACTATCTTCAACTGCCCATATCGGCCCTTTTTGGGCCTTTTCGGCCCCTGTCGACCTCTCTCGGCCCTTCTCGGTCTTTCTCGACCCTTCTTAGCCCATTCAGCAAAAGTATCTACATTTTCTTACATCATCCAAATATCTCGCACAATTCTTCCACATCAAATAATGAACTAAGAAACTACCGTAAAACACATGATTATCTAAAGGGAATAAATAAATTTATTAGTTTAAGAAAGTAAGGGATTTACAGACCTGTAGATGATGCCACGTTTATGCAAAAACAGCAACCCCTCTACAATTTCTGCGGAATAGAAACTGAAAAAAAGAATACCAAAATTGAACTCAAGTGCAGAAATTACCGAAATTCAACAAGGGTGAATAAAATCGAAGTTTATCATTTTTAAAAGTCGCTGTATAATTTTCGATTGAAAATGAGAATTTACTAGAACACTTGTCATCTTACTTTGCTGGTATTTAATCTGATATATCAGATATTTCCATGAATAGGGAGTTTTATCATTCTTGTTGAAAGACGTGGTTGAGTCTGCGCACAATGGCTGCCCTATTACTGAGCACACCAAAAGAGGCCCAAAAATATCTAAAAATCTTATATTAATGTCCTTATCTTCAATGATCTGTCATCGTACTGTCCTAGAACACCAGTCACTATCTAACACCAGTCACTATACAGAAACAATCTGATAAAAAGAGCATTAATTATAAAATACTTAAGAGCTTATGTAATTATGTTTTCATTCAAGCTGTTAAATTTTTTGATATTTAGGCCAAGGTTTAATATCTGAACATCATACTCTAAGATGCTTGAGATTTTTAATGTCAGATTGACATTCTAACTTTCGTTTCAACTCAGAAGACAATAAAACATAGTTTTAAAAAGCCTACACTAGGAACTGTCGAAAATAAACTGTGCAAAAAAGATTGGTTGCCAAGTCACAGATTCCAGAATATCGTGTGAAGGTGAATAGAGTGCAAATGGAGCAAGTTAGCCGATTCAATTATTTGGGCAGTTTGATATCATCCGATGGGAGATCAGATCTGGATATTAAATGAAGAATAGATCAGGCGAAGAAAGCATTTATGGGTATGAGGAATGTTTTGTGTAAAAGAAAGATAGGAGTGGGTGTTAGAAAGGGTTTCTCAAAGTGTAATATCTGGTCCGTGCTACTGTGTGGCTGCGAGTCATGGACAATAAGTATGAACATGGAGAACAAGCTCAAAACGATAGAAATGTGGTTTTGGAGAAGAATGATGAGGATCTCATTGATTAAAAAGATGACAAATGAAAAGTTTTGACCAAGAATGGAATGAAAAGACAATTGTTGAGCACTATCAAGAAGAGGCAATGGGATTTTACTGGACATGAGTTGAGATGAGAAGGGAGGTAGAAAGGAAGATTATAGAGGCTGAGATGGCCTGGAAGCGAGCAAGAGAAAGGCAAAGATTGAAGATGTTAGATTGGATGATGAAGAAGTTGGGTGTTAGAGGTGAAAAACAACTAGGCGAGATTACAAAAAAAAAAGATGGAAGAATGAAGCACCACCATGATCCGTATGTGGCATTCGATGCAATGATATAAGAAGAAGAAGAAGACGCCAAGAACCAACATAAAATGAAACCAAATATATTGTCATTTTATATGCTTTACTGCCATATGTAATTGGCCTAAACTAGTCGTGATAACTAGACCTTTGTCAAACCTTTTTCTAAAAAGACCAAAAGAATTAAGAAACATTGTCTAGTTAGGTCCATGCTTGGTTTCTTATAAAAACTGACTGTTTTTCTCAGCGCAAGACGCTTCATCGCATCGTAAACACACACCCTTTAGCCAAGCCAGTTTACCCGCTCTTCTAATCCTAACTGATCCCAAAAATCAAAACTGAAGTTGATTTCAAGGGACTGAGGCAAAAAAATTCATTTCGCGATCATCGGATATGGAAGACCGAAATCATTCTAAAAGGACAATTTTTTGAGTCTGAGTAATTCAAAAACTTTGGTCTTTTGGATACGCTTCATCCAGTTTACAAATATAACGTAGCTTCCTTTTCAATCGGGGGTATGATTGGCTTTCTTCATTTAGGATGACGCTTGATTTCTCAAATCTGTATCGTTTAACAATTCTGGTAACCACTTATTCTGGTAACTCATTCCGAAGATAAAATCGTTGGTTCTCCACGAATTCTTCCAAAGTTTTTCTTGTGTAAAGTTTTAAAATGACAGGAAAACTGTATTTAACAAATTTCGGATTTCTTTCATCGAAAAACCAATTTTCGAATTCTCTTGTTGTGACAGTTGCGACTGTCCTGTCTATAACTGTGCTTTAGGTAACCATGCATGTTTCAGAAGTTACGAAATCTTCAAAAAATTTTCAAGAATTCGACTCTTGAGAATTTAATAACATTTTCTCAAAAAGGACTGTTTGGCGAATATATCATAAGTTTACAAAATTCGAGACGTTTTGGACGTCGTTATGAGTAACGAATAGCAAGGATTTTATCCTGTTGGGGCGGGATCCTTTGTACGTCAAAAAGAGTCACCACAAAACGGGCAACAGCTGCTTGATTCCCAAAGAAATTTAGACCCCGTTTACACTGTGCCGGATAAAATTTATCCGCATAAAAGTTCGGATTAATTTGCGCTTACACTGTGCCGCACAAATTTTGTCCACTTTGCCCTCCCGTTTACACTGTGCCGGATAACTGCAGTCACATGACCTAAATCATGCACAGAACGCCCAAAATCGAAGTCTTCACTGGGCAACAAAATAATAACAAAATTCCCGCCAATGTAAAAAGACTTCATTCTCTTCAGAATCATCTGCTTCTCTTTTAGACCAAATCCAAAGAGTTGTCAATACAAATAAGGCCTAGTTTGTTTTAATAGTTTGTTCTTGAAACAAAATGACACTGAACTAGCAACGAAAGTCGGAAAAGCTGACAAGGATGCCAATTTTACGTGGACTGGCAAGATACTGTACTTTTAACATGAGTATTTATCAACAACAAAGCAGCCAAGATGGCGAAAGGTCTTGATTGGGAGACAGCGACAACTTAATTGGATGAAATAGCCAATTGCTTTCGAGCAAGATACGATGTGGATAAAATTTATCCGGATGAAAGCGTTTACACTGTACCACATAGCTATCCGAACTAATACAATCCACTTTCCTAGATGAACTAATTTTGTGCGGATAGCCGCTCTCAAATTCGTGCGGATAGCGTTGGTCTAGTGTAAACGCGACGCCTATCTGAACTAATTCTGATGCGGATAAAATTTACCCGGCACAGTGTAAATGGGGTCTTAGATTCGATGCACACAACTGCGTTCGTTATATCACTGAATCACACCGTTCAGCAACGACTTGACGACTTCAGGTCATTCATCTGCTCCTATGTAAACATACAAAACACCTCTTAGCAAAAATGTTTATGAATTGGCAATGAAATTGCACCTACACAGCTTGTGGTTCTTTGAATTTGCCAACCTGCTGAATATGGAACATCAGATCGCCTCCATTGACGAATTCCATCACAAAGTAAAGCCGATCCTGCAAATAAAAAATTCATCGCAAATAACCTCTTGGCAGTTTAGAAATGTAGAAAATATAAAAAACATTAATAAATGCACTCAATTTAACCGAAACTAAATTATGGTTGCCTTTATGAAAGCGGCAATCACAAAATTAAAATTTTAAAAGGAAAGAATTTTCTTTGTAAAACAATGATAAGATTACAATGGTATTTAAAAAAGTGACGAAAATCCACAATTATTTTGAATTCGTTTGATTAATCTAATTTGAAGTGCAAAAAATCAAGACTATAAAAATTGTTCTTAAGTAAATAAAAAAACATATTAATTTTCACGTCTGAAATCATTAAGGAATCACAAAGTCATTAGTTGCTTTATTCTGCCATTCAAAGCCAGCCACTACTTGCTTATTTTCAAAATGATTTTAATCAGCGCTCCGCAAGAAAGCTTAAAGAAGGCTGAAAAATAAAAGTTGCCAGTGATCTAAAAACAAGATGATTACTGTATGCCAGTAGCACAACAATGTAATAATCAAGTGTAAATCACTACACACATTCAAAACATTTGCGCTGTTCTTTTCACTCTGCCAAAAGAGTAAGCCCTCTACAAACAATCTTCAACAAACAATGACGTCACAGTCAAGACAATTTACTTCCGGTTGTACCAGCTGGCCTTTGATGATCAAAATCATAATCAAAATCGGCTGGCATCAGTAACATAATGTATTAGCCTGATGATCGTATTAAGTGTGAAGCCTAAGTCGTAAATCAGAACTGTCCTGTTCTATACAAAAATCGTGGCAATGAATATATTTATATAGCCTTTATTTGTGAATTTTTTTTTGATTTGGTAAGATTTAGAAAAGTTAGAGAATATTTACGTCGCTCGAGTATCAGAAACCGACCGGCGAGAGTTTGATAATCGTTTAGTTAGAATATTTTATATATGGTTTAGGTTTCTTGTAATGATTATGTATTTCCTTTGTATACACTTTTTGTAAATAGTTGGCCTTAATTAGCTTTCATTTTTAGCTATTTCGAACAGCCAACTTTAAATCAAAGTATTAATAATAAATAATAACAATATTTTTAAGATAATGAATTGGCCACCCCTTTAACTACACAATGTTATCCATATTGGTAATTGCAAATGCACAAATAATGAAAAACGTGTAGCTAAGTCCCCCTTTATAAAAGGAACACAAAAACTGTAAAAGATTTTCATATCCCAGGCGTTTTGAAAATTTCCTCAAACGTTTTCGTAAAAATCATAAAAAAATTTCCAATACAATACTTCGCTAAGACTTTTCTGATTGCTGCTTATAGAGAATTATATGGCAATAACCATGTGTGCTGACTAATTTCAAATTGGAGATTAAAATTGGACACTGATCAGGATACTTAAGGGCCCTGACGTAAAGGGCTCTGACTGTATAGCACATGATTTACCTATGGCTAAATCGTCTGCTTATAGTTGACGTTTTTGGTTTTCATATACATGGTGTTTCGCAGGGCTCTGCAACTGGACCCATTCCTCGAACTTTCTGTAATAAATGATCTGCTTCCTTTTTTAATAATAAACAACTTTGATCATTCTTGGAGAAATCTCGAGGAGAGTGTACTACAAAATATTCTGAATCAGACAAATTTTGGTGGCGGCAGCTCGTGAAGCTTGTGACCTCAGAAATGGAATGGTTTCCTACATAAAATGAAATCGGCGCAAAGCATACACATAATAAAGGGATTACTAATGACCGATTATATAAAATAATATGATGAGCTTAGAGGCAACTGCAGTGGGTATCAATATGGTGAATGACAAAAACAGCTTGGGGCAAAAAACATACGATTGTTGCATTGTACAACATAATGTATCTTTAATTCTTCAAGATCAAAATATACGAAAATAACAACACGCTACGACCACAACAACAAGCATATTTGAACGAGCGAAAGGGCGCAACTGCTTTTACCTGTGACTGAAAACATGAATGTACTGCGGTGAGAAAAGGTGGCTTCCCCTGTAATGCCAGCACTCGCTTCTCAGTCATGACACAAACAACATCGTCATTTTGCAGCACAACGTCTTTTTTTAGAACCTTGATTGCGTAGACGTCTTCCGTCGCTTTATGCTCAGCAAGCATAACCTTGTTACAAAAGACAGTTATTTAGTCAACGATTTACAACAACAGAAAGCGTGCGAATTTACGAGCTTTGCGATTTTTAAAAGTTAGCCTGACCAGGAGTAATTATAATAAGGAAAATTTCTTTGTTCACGCTGGAAAAACCTATAAAAACAAATATTATACATAGCTTTATACAGTAATTTCGATTCCTATGCAATTATGAAAACTAAATCATCAATTAATGTAATGTATAGATTCTGTGAAAAATGTTGGTTTTTTTGTCTACAATGTTCTTAGAAATCAAGAATACAAGTTTCATTGTCTACAATTGCCTCCGTTAAAGCCGTAATCGTTAGCAAACATGGAAAAAATAACACAATATTTTGTGTTTGAAACCCACCTTTCCAAAGCTTCCTTTTCCAATCAACTTGAGGAATGTAAAGTCTTCTGGCTTCATGGAAGGCAGCGATGTCTCCCCAGCCGGGGCACTTGGTTCAACTGGCGCAATCTTCTCATCTTCCTTCGGCTTCAAGAACTGCAGTTAAAAATTGTCAAGATTCAATAACTTAAGTAAGAGACAAAGTATCATTGAACTTGTCTTGTGATTCTCTGTAGATTTTACATTGTGACGTATCCCTGTATTTAACGCTGTATAGTCGCGTTTAGAAGTTGTTGTTGATGGTTCTGGACCTTTGAATGTCTTAGCAAGTATAAACTGACTTTGTATGCCTCCACGAAATTGGCTGGAATCTTTAACAATAAGAAAGTAAACTGACGACAGGTTTTCCTACATAGATGTGTAACCTTTCAGTATCATTTTATCTGTTAAGATTTAAACATCATCTGGAAAGACAGTTTTTGCTAAACGTCAATGTAAGGATTACGCAAGGAAACATTTTTTAGCATCATTTTAGGAAAAAAGATAGACGAAGACCGATATATTATAAGCTATGCAATGCTATAGAATGTTTTGATACGAGTTTGCCTCGTTTTAAGCTAAGGAAAATGACACATGTAAGTTTTATGGTTCTCTTTTGAAAGTCCATTAAAATCAAACCAAATGAATAAGTCCATCACAACGGTATTGGGCAAGTTTTGAAAGGTCCAATAAACTTTTATTATTAACTCGATTTGTCTAACACGAAGCTGCTTCAATAACTAGAAATTCTAAAACTAATTGGAAATGTCGACCGTTAACTAAATTGGATTAACCACTGTAACTTTGTAACTGATGAACAATATGCCAGTTGCTGCAATTCTTGTATTAAACCTTGTCCGTTATATAAGGTTTTCAAGGTCAAGATATGGATGAAGTCTGTAGGAAATAGTTTGATTGAAAAATGAGTCTATACAGCTCTTTAATCGCATTGAAACAAAGTCTGTAGGACTGAGGTTTAGGCAAACTTGCATTTTTCACGCATTAGTTAAACTTTCCTTGAAAACTGATGTTAAGTCTAGGCCACCACGAGATTGAATAAAATGAGAAGCGTATGATATAGGAAACAATCAATAGATTAAGAGTCTTGGAAAAAAGAAGTCGATAGCTAATTTATACAATGATTTGTTTTTAGGGGCTAAGTTATACAATGAATTGCCTATAGACGTAAGAAATGCCGAAAATAAAAAGGATTTTAAAGAAAAAACGATTTTATTTTAAAAATGGAATAGTTTTGATAAACTAGGCTTTTTAATAATAATCAAGGACTTTTAACGTAATATTTATTCATAGTTATAAAATTGTAAGTTAGGTTTTTAACATTTCTTTTCTTTCCTTTTAAGCAGGACAGGCATTAAAATCAGCAATATTTTTGTTGAAGCTTTTATCCTGATGAAATATTCGTATAATTATTATTATCATTATTATATAGCGAACGTTTAAAGAGCAAATTGGTACGATAATATTTAAATGTTTCAGGGCTGAGTAGAGAGAAGATTTTCGGTGACGGAATTCGACCAGCAAATCATTTTGCTTTGCTGAATTACAAGCAAACAAAAATAGAAATTTGAAACGCTATGGACGGGCACAAGGCACGGGTCTTGTTGGCATGGACTGGCACAAGGAACTTCTTAGAAATTGAGCATTCATGTGTAACAGCAATTAGGTTTTAAGAACACCAACCTTGAATTTCTTGCGCAACTCTGCAAGTGCCGTGCCAATATCATCTTGGATCGGTACATTGTAAAATTCACCCTCTTCTTTGTTTAAGAGCTTAAACCACCCCTCCACTGGGTTCTTTATCAACTCTGAAACACCGAAACTCATTGATCCCATGAAGTCATTAGCTGTCGTTCTATCCCAGTCCCAGGCCTCTACGCTGAGTCTTCTATCCAGATCTTGTTTGGCTATTTTACTGCAATAAATTTACACGCGATAAAAGCAAGGAAAATGAAGTAAATCATCCCTATTAAGTTTTACCATAACCCTGACTTCTATGTACTTTGAAACACAGCAACGCCAAAAGGCCATTGCCTGGTCAACGCCGTTAAATTATAATTTACGGTTAGTGAGGTAACTACAATCAACTATTCATGGACCAGACCTTTCCAAGCAAGATCCTCTTCGTTTACCTGACAACAAAGTCATTTAGCGTCATTGGCACTGCTAAACTTGCTTCCTCGTACTAAACAAATTTTAATACATCGTCAAAGATTTAAAGGCAGTCTGTCCCCTCAGTGATTGAGTAATATGAACAATAGCTGTCCTAGTACTTATCCTGCCTTAAAGACTCATTGCTAACAATGAGCCTTTGCGAGGGTGGCAAATTATCCAGGCGACAATCCAAACAATGGCAGTAAACTTTACGGATTAATCACAATTGATTTCAGACTGTCTGAAAATGCATTATTGGATGCTTGCGTAGCGCAATGGCTCATTGTTAGCAATGAGTCTTTAACGGATTACGCTGCTCACTTTGGCTGGCCTAGCTGCGACAGTGGACGACATTTGAAACTGCGAGCAAAAAGGCAATCGGAAGTGGTAAGAGGATTCTATCACTGGAATTGAATGATGATTATGGAAGACATTTCTTTTCCCTGTCAACTTACGTCGCAGAAACAAAACAGAGAATAAAATTTTTCTAGCCACAACTCCACTACAACGGCCATTTGATTCAACACAGCCATTTTATTCAAAAATTCTGGAATCAAAGTTGTCTTTGATTGGTTTAAATCGTTTAATTGTCGATCAAGCTCAACGGTGCGCGAATTTCACTCAAGTGAAAATAAAGTTGTGCACAATAGAGGACAGACTGCCTTTAAGTATTTATTTATGTTGTAGGAGACAAAAACTATTAAAGGCAAACATTATCTAACTCCGAATTTTATTCTCGAGGCTATTTCGCAGCCAAAATAATGAAAAACCAAATTATATCGAATTCTGTTAAGAGCGCCTTAAAAGGTCAATAAAATAGTTGAAATTGGATTTATGGAATACAAAACTGCTGCTTAAAGCATTTTCAATTTGTTAAAGCAATTTAGTTTGCTAATAGAGCATGTGCTGACTTAGTTCACAATTTTATTGGAACCGCATTGGTAGACAAAATGACAGTGCTACGTTTGCATGTATTTCAGCTTCAAATATAGCAGTGAGAAAATTTATTAAAAATGCAGAGGAAGCTGTCCTTCGCCATCACATGCAAGGCATGTGTTCCTGAGCGAATGTTTTCATCTGCGGAGAGCACAAAATGAAATGACCTGCAAAGCAAAACGTTTTAACCTTCCGAATAGATTATTTCCGATTTCAATTTGCATTTCTACGTATTTTGACAAATTATGCAGCTAAAATGCTGATTTAACAGTTAATTTTCTAGAAGACGGGTGGGAGGAAGAAAAAACTCACAAGGACACTTAAATTGAATCTATTGGACTGTTTTCAAAGTAGCTGAAGAAACGGAAGAAGCTTCAACAGAGGATCGACATAAAAACATTTCTGCTGTCAATTTCCATGTGAACTCTTTTTCGGCTTCGCCCACATTTTGTTACCGTATATATTGATCACATGATAAAGGCAGGGCTAAGCAATAAACTTACAACACGAATTTTTGATTCCAAACTGGATTGAGATTCTTTTTCATGATTTGTGTCTTCTTCTTAGTCTCCTTTTCAGGGTCAGGCTTCAGTTTTACTTTGACGTAAGGATCAGAAAGGCCAGTTGGGTCCATTGGGATCAAGTTCTTTGCTTCCCGCACTGAAAAAGGTACAGAAAGAGTTCTGAATCTCATATTAAAAGCAGTTTAGGTTAAATGAATCAAAAGAAATATGCACTCTTAGAAACTGGGGCACTTATCGTTTAATTTCAAGCAGACGTATGTTGTAATGAAAAGAGCACCATCTATAAGTGACAACGGCAAAGATGCACACATCCATCGACAGGCACCTTGTCTGCAATCTTTCTGATGTTTCAAATGGGGTTCGAAAAATAACTTTTCGAAGGCGTCGATGTTATTCACACAAAACATGACAGACAGTGGCAGTTTTAGGGAGTGTGGACCCCGGGACCAAAAACATCTGCGGGCCCTTGTTCTTTACAATTTCTACCTTTTTCTTAGGTGTGGGCCCTTTTGGCTACCATAAGCGCGGGGTCTGGGGCCATGGCCCCTCTGGACCCCCCTTAAAACCGCCACTGATGACAGAGAAAGGTTCGATTATTATCAAAATCTGGTTACCGTATTTTTCCGCGGATATGATATCCAGAAGTCTACCCTTCATTTCTTGTTAAAAATACACGACTTTTAGCAATACCCGGCATATCAGTAGACCCACCAAACTTGCTCTTATAACGCTCAATGTTTTATCAAGGAAATTTATAAACAAATACAAGTTTTTACTGCTCCAAGTTCAAAAATCATTCCAACCATTTTGAGTTTTGGCTGACAAAAATCAAGACACTCGCCAGAGAAAGAATTTAAATTCTAAATCCGCAGTTTACACTATCCTATCAAAAGGATATCTTTTTAAAGAAGTTTTCGCATAAATTTCTTGAAAGCTACATATGTGTATTTTAGATACCTAGAAACTCGATAAATACGCCGAGAAATAAGATGTCTGTTTGCTTCTGATCTACTTTCGAGCCTCTACTTACAAATTAGTCTTAATGGAGAAATTTTTTAAAAACAACGATCCCGTCCAAGGCTAACGCAGCGACTCGACATGCTGTTATTTTTCTTGATAAACACTGTCAAACTTAACATGATCTCTCAATTTTCACGTTATAGGAAGTTTGATTATGAAATTAATAAGAAGTTTGATTATAGAAACAAATTCATGTGTGGTTTAAGGTTCATAGTTAAAGGTCCTTTTGGACTCCGACGAATCTAGAAAGCTCGGTGGACGTACAACGGTCGCCAAAAATTTAAATCAAAGAAGTCAATCTATCACAACTGATACAAAAGAAACATCGCCATAAAAAATCAACCATTGAGGGAGAAAGAGCTAAAGGGGGAAGGGGGGTGTTCACCAACGATGTTAATGCAGGATATAAGGATTTCTGAAAGGCGTTGCTCGAAGATAGAGGATAACAATATCGACATTTTATTTGCTGTACAATCCGCTTAACTACATGGTTTATTTACAGCGGCTTAATTTTGCCTTAACGGATCGTTGAAATCAAAACGGTTCTCTAAGTCGCTTGTCAGATTGGATCTTTATCTAAGGAAGGCAGTTTCCTCAGCCTGTTGCAGGTGCGTTGTCGAGAAAGAATTTCGGCACGACCAGTTTCTATAGACTTTTCACGCGATTACGAGATTTTCCCATCAACATTGCGGCCAAATCGTAAACTTACTATAAATAATTGAAGAATGCTTTATCAAAAGCGGGCAAAGAAACACTAAGCAAACTGGCAATTTGCTAAGTAATGAAGTGACATTGATAAGAAAAACGTCTAATGTAGGTCAATAAAGGTTCATCAAAGACAAAAAAAGCTCCCGAAGTTGCAAGCAAAATTTACTTAAAACACTGATGCCAGTGATGCGGTTAGGACATGATATCAGTGAAATTCTACGGCCGCTTTCTTGGCAGCTGCAAGGGCAGATGTACAGAATTTGCTCTGGATACGTTGATAACGCAATATGTCAGTAATATTACGGTATAGGCGTGTGCCTTGTCAGCCACTGGTACATTTTCTGAATAATTGCATTCATTTAAAGGGATCAACACGATAACCAAACATTTGCTAATCAGTTGAAGCCAGTAGAATCGCACCTCGGCTAAGCTCATCTAAGCCTTTATTTGACGCGGATTATTACGGATAATGTAGCGAATTATGTGGGCTGAGCATAATAAAGCAAAAACGTTATCGCAAAATCTTATTCTTATTTGCCTTTATTTGCTAAAGGAGGAGCTTGAGAGAAACAAGATGACCTAGGCTTGCAGATCAAAATGCGCCGTTTGCAAAGCAAACTATTTAGAGATTTTTGGTAATTTACCTTCCACTTCCAAATCTCCCTCATTTTCTGATTTGGCAGTGTATTTAATCTTGAGGTGGATGCGACCCCGCCGTTCTGTGTGATCCGCGCCACATAACTTTGGAATGCAGCCTGATTTCTCACATCTTTTGTGAACATTCATCTCACAGGCTAGATAAAAAATTAAAAATTCAACAAAACTCAGTGTTCCTTAGGCTTTTAACACGAAAATACGCTTCACTAAGGTCAATGACAACAATGGAGTACTGAGCCTATCAACACTTTCATAGCCAGTCTTGTGTTTTATCGGATACGTAAATTATGTATTTTGCCCTAATTAATATTTTACTGATTATCTCCATTTTAACCTTTATTCAAGCAAGAAAAAATCTTAGCATAAGCTGTGATTTTGAGGGTGAAAGGAATAAAGGTTTAAGTGAAAGTTAAAATGGATATAGGTTGGAACTGACGTACCTTGGCACTTGAGTCCTTGGTGGAGAAGGCCATAAAGGAGCGATCCACAATGGTCACAAAACGTCGGACTTGTGTACGTGTGAACTTTAAATCTGTGCGGCGACTGTGGTGCCTGTCATAAAGAGAAGGGAGAATCCACTCGTTTAGAAACTCTTATTCAAAAACAAAAGAATATGCCTGGCTATCTAAACCGGACTGAGCTAGAAACTCATAAATTGAATAAATTGATAATTTCCTTCATAGCAGAGAGTTTTTGTTTAGTTCTGCTATTGGAGAACTAAATCAAGGAGAAAATCTAGTTTGCGCGGCAAAAGTACGACGCATAGCGCGAAAGTACTTTTCTAACGCACTGCTGTTATACTAAATACCATCAAAGTTTTTACGACCAAAGTGTAGCATAAAAACTGATGTCTAACTGCGCGTAAACGTTGATCTTGTTTGTTTCCTTTAGGTTTTTCATAAAATGCCTTTCAATAATGCCTTATTAAACACTGTAGGATTAATGCTTTTTTGTTTAGTTCTGCTATTGGAATATCTGGAAATGACCTTTCTCTAGGGGCTGATGAGCACAGAGGAAATTAATATTGCTGGCGCGAAAAATGGCGACATTATTCCCTGATACAGTCTTATGGCATATTAAGGCCTGCTTAAGATGCCTATAGAAATGTGTTTTTGTTTCAAAATACACTGACAGAAATCTTTGCTCCGGAAGAAAATTGGAACGAGTCCTATACCGGAATTACAATAGAAGGTATGACAAGTGATATATGTGGATGACGCTATTCGAGCATGAGTTAAGGGGTGACAGAGCAAAAGGGTGAAGGGGTGAAGGGGGTGACGGGATGTGCTAATGTTTTTTTTATTTTCAAAGCAGGTTAGAAGGTCTGGCAACTCAAAAGAGCGGATGTGAAATGTTTGACAAAATCAATCAAAGGGGGGGGATAGTTTTGGTTATAAGGTTATACCAGATCAAAAATTACATTTCACTGACTCATTACTGAATATTACAAAGGAAGACGAAGCTTTAACAGCTAAGCGCAATTTGGTTTAAAAAATCCATGAGCAGATGCTCGGACAACTAAATATTAAGCACCAGGACTCAAAGGACCTTATCTTTACTCATCGTAAAGCTTGGGATTCTAGGTATGAATAACAGGGCGGCCAAACAAACATGGTCAGTTAGGCCAAATCAGACAGTAAATGGAAATGGAAAAACTTTGTTGAGACTAACAGAACAATCTGATTTAATTCTTTAAAACAAGGCAGTAAGTGTGGGCGACGACAGCTGAAAATGATAGAATCGCATATAACTGTGTTTCATCTTTTCAAATAAGTCAAAATAAGTCCTTAGTTGTCTGAAACGCATTCAAGATTACAAATCATCATGGAAACATCCACGCCTTGCAGTCAATGAAACATTTGAAAGATCTTTCCTCTGAAGAGATATTTCCAAAATAAAATGTCTGCCTATAAAAAAGAAACCCTTGTTTCCTTTGAAGGTTAAATCAAATTCTCTCTTTGAAAAACTGCAGAGTAACGCCAAACCAGTCAGTTCTGTGGAGTTTCTATCAATGTAAAATAGTGTTTACACATGACACCAAACTAGAGATTGACATTCGATTGAAAATAAATTAACTTTCTTTATTGCAATAAACGATATGGACAGTAACCCGATCTTTGTGAGGTTTCCCCTTTCATGTATCTACCAGATCTGAACATCTTAATACCAACATGTAAAAGTCATTTGAGAATTTTAGAGGCGCATTTTTGGCTACTTATTATTAGGTGCATGATCAGTATCAAAGATTGGGTTACAGGAAGCGAATTATAGATATTCTCGCGACCTGTTCCCTAATCAGAAAAAATCTGAATTCATTCCGGAATTTGGGAACAGCGATTTTATAGCTTACAAATCATTATAACTAAATTGGGCGATAAAGGTGCACATTGCTAGATGTAGTAAAGATTAAAGGGAACTTACATCAGAGTCTTTAGATATATCTGAGCCTGGACACTGGAACGAGACAAATTCATGGCATCGCTTGTGAACCACAAAGCAGCAGACTGGAAGAAAAAGTTGTTATAAAGTGACAGAAAAAAACAAGACACGACAGCACGTCTCCAAAAGTTACGTGGTTGCATGTGGGGCACAATAATAATCGCTGTATACAGGCTCCGGCAGTAAGCGATTTGGTATACATTTGGAGGTCAGCCTCGTTCCGGTTGTGAAGTTTTTAGGCAGCAAATTCTATTCTGTAGTTTTGAATCTGCAGAAACTGTGCATGAATCCGTTTTGTAATTGTACAATTCGATGCGTCGCTCTACACGCGACCAATGCGTTCAATTCAAATGAAGAAGTCAACTGCGCCATACAAATCCAATGTTACGTTCGCTGACCTAAAGTTTCACTCTCACTGTATATGGAAGACGGGGTGGAAGACGAGCTGATTCTCAGAAACCATTTACTTTAGTCAAAAATGTCGTTGTTCTGGTCTGGAATCTTTGAATTCCGGCAAATATCACGAGCCTGCTTGATCAAAGAAAAGCGCAAATAAATCTATATTCACTTACTTTTACACTGGTATCCCTGCGTTTGCACAAAGCCCCTAGAATGCAAATAGAATTGATCAGTATTTTTGGAGCACATGATTCTTCTGTAAACAAAACTACAGCTAAAATAAACGTTAAAGATCTTTTGAATATAGAAGACGGTTTCATTAATCATACCACCGAACAAAGTTTTCCGCCAAAATGAGGTACGTCTGCACGGTTAATTATGGTTTAGTTACAGCTCTAGTCTTGTTGTTTTTCTCGATTTTCATTGGTAAACCCAATTACTACTTTCAAAAAAAGGTGCACTCAAAATATTTTGACAATAAGTAGCGGCTTAAAAATTAATAAAAGTGGGTAAATACCAATTGTGAATATAAAGAGATGTTCGTCTATATAAAAAACAAAACTCTTTATGAGAGGGTCGAACAATCAGAAGCTTGGTTTGGTTCTTGTTTAGGACCTGGCAATGATTAGGCTCCCCAGCTTTCTTTCAAAGAAATTAAAACTGCGAAATAAACAGATTTCTTATTTTATATGTTGTTAAGCATTATATGAAAAGAAGTTACTCAAAAATCTTGCAAAACAAGCAACGTTCTTTTTCTATGACTAGCTGGCAATTTCTTAGGACTTTTATGACAATTATTGAAAAAATTTTCACACTTTTTTGTCTCGGTGTTACCATTTTAAAAGCACGTTCTTTCAACGTGGACATGCTTGCAGCAAAGGAGTCACTTCGTAGCGCCATAACAAGTCACTTCGTAGCGGCGGCGGCGCATTTTGATTGGCAAAGCGTTTAGCTATGGGAAGCAAAAAGATGTTGGGCGAGGGGAAAAGTTGAACAGCTTTGCAGAATAAGGCTCACCTGGAGAGTAGCCACCCACCTGCATATGATCAAGCACGATTTAATGAGAAATACCAACTTAAACACACTTAGAGAAAAAGACATCATATTTTGAATAAATCTTCATCAAATGGTGTAAATCTCACATCGTTGAATCCAACCTGGTAAATTATTAATTGTTTGCAGCGCCGCTCGCGTGAAAAAGACGACCTTAGGACCGCGTTATGCGAGGATTCAGACGATTAGTTTAACCATTCTTGATAGATTAGCCTGTGCACCTAAAATGGAACGTCGTATTTACTTTTTCCTAAAGAGGCTTAATGACTATATTCAGGGTAAAGAAATTCTACTTCATCTTGCTATAGTCTATAAACTTACTGAGAGAAGTTGTTTCCGCTGTTTTGTTGAAAATAAACAGCCTCGTTTTGGCGACAGCCGCGTTCAAATCCAAAAACTTTCAAGACAGGGGAATACTAAGTTTGGGCAAAAGCCGTAAAACATGGCAAGCTTTTAAGCATCAGTAATTGCATATATAGGTCACGCCCTTGAACCATGGTTATTATGTTTTCTTAACAAGCACAGCAGATGTTGGTATCCGTAAATACCTTAGAATAAAAAGAACGCCAAAGTGCCTATAAGGCATCAAGCACTGTTTGACAGGCCATTAAAAGAGAAATTTCCATACGAAGGGATTGACACATTTCAGTTGTTATGACAATCTCTCTATGATTGATACATTTCAGTCGTTATGACAACGTCACTGTCTACATATGACAATCTCTCTATTTCATTGTATAGATGACTGAGCAAAAATACACCAGCCATTTTCTAAGGGTGGTAAAAAGTTGCGCCTTGTTTTATGTTTTAAAAGTAAAGATTTCCCCAGCAAACTATAATAGGAAAATCACCTGGTCCTACATTCTTGCTGCAAGTTTTTCATAATGTTCAAAAGGCTTTTGTGAAACAATAACCATGTGAGAAAGATGGAAAAAATCTCTAGATAATTGGACTGATTTTAGAATGTCTCTAAAACATTTTATTACGTACAGGAAGAACTGTCATGAAGCAGCATGGATGAAACAATTTTATCAAGTTTTTTCGTATGCACTGTTAAAAGCTGAGATATATAAAAAACAATGCATGAAAACTGGCTTTCAAATGGATGTGAAATTCTCAGGCGTTGGATACCTGATATTGTATGAACGATCAATATTAATTATATGCCAGGCCATAACACCTTCAAACCTTCAAAAAAGAAAAACTACTGATTCCTGAAAAAGGATTAATCTCAACAATCTCTTTAAGAGAATATCATCCAATATCTGAATCAACATTTTGTTTCTGCATGGTATACAACCTCGCCTTTTTTTCAAGGTTTGTTCCAATCATTCAAAATCCAGATCTTTTTAATCTGCATGAATTTTTAATTATGAATATACATGTCCATTACAGTATCACTTATGGCTTGATTTTCATTATATACCAGCTAGGACGAAAAGAGCTTTCACCATTGCTAGGACAAATATGAGCCTGGGCATAGCTAACTTGTGGCTTTTGAATAAAACATCCATTCTCCATGCCATATTTTAAAATGCAACCATGAATCTATTTGCTTTGTAGCAAAATATGTTTATGCAGCTGGCTTTTTAGGAATACAAGCCTTTATCAATGAACCTTCAATTACATTGAGTACAAAAGTACCTGTTCCAATTGTTACAAGAGTTCAAATACTAAAAGGTATTTTAAGGTGTGTCTAGCAGGTTGACAGAGTTCTCCGTCATGCAAAATCTCATTCATATCATAAACTGCATAATCTTTGGATTTGCAGCAAATTTAATATCTTTCAAAAGAACATCTAAATAAAACTTAACATTTGTAATACAAGTTGACAATGTGCGAGTTACCTACTTCCTTGTCAATTTATTTTTAGTTTGGATGCTTGAATTGAAGAATACAAAAACTGTCAAAATCACTATTCTATTGACATCTTTAATGAAGGGACAATTCACCACAAGACGCTTATTAAAAATTCAAAAACCATATTACAAAATATTAACCAATGTATTAACAGAATATTTTTAACAAAATTTTTCTCTAACAGAATAATAAATAATTAATAGCACAACAACTTTCTGCACTTAACATTAAAATCAATGAATGAATTGTGTTTAAAAAATCTTTAGTGCATCTCTGACTTACTTTGCAACTAGCATTGAAAAATATCACACCAAAAAGAGCATTTTAAATTAAAGAACTTAGGTTCCAATCCAACTAAAACTGGGAAATCATAGAGTACTCCACAATAATAAGTATCGCCAACAATATATAAAAAATCTACAATAAATTTATGTATTGGATATAATATATATATCCATTGATATTATAGAAATTTTTCTTTTTTTATATTCATACAACATATGGTACTAGTTAGTTGGGAATTTCATATTTGCATGAAAATTACAAACGATATTCCAGTTTATAATGACATAAAGATGTCATTATAAACTGGAATATTTACAAATAAAACCATTGAAACAACCCAAGTATAACTTAGCAAAAGTAAAAATCCCATTGAGCCTCTGCTTTGGAATCTCAATGGTAAATTAGATAAAAATTAAAATTAGCAAATCAATTAAACAAAGGTTATCAAGTGATTTTACAAATATTCATGGGACAAGAGGGGTACATTTTGGCAAAAGAGGTCACCTGTGAGCTGCAGAAAGTTATGGAGCATATTCCCCTGTGCCTACATGAATGCTTAGTTTCTTTCTTTTGTTCCATTAAAGCAAATGTAGGTCCAAGGCCAATAAATTACTAATATGCCAGAAGGAAGAGATGCTAGATAAGGCCATATTAACCGGCAACTACCTGGAATCTAATGCAACACGTAAAGGTATAAAAATGATTATTTATTCAACAATCATGCCATCTCAAATGACTAAAATCAAAAAGAGAGTGAAAGGCAGGTGTGCCTTGAGTTTTTGTTTCAATAAATTCAGAAAATTTAAACAAGAGAATTTTAATAAGCAGCTGACATATTTGTTAGTGAGTAACAAAACATACATCATCATTGCATTGCATGGGACTGCATGGAAAAACTAACATATTAAGGATGGTAAAAATTGGTGATTAAAAGAGGCTATTTTAAAGAGGGGCTATTAATATTGGTATGAGAAAATGCATAGGAGGATTACAACTATCTAATCCGTGCATTTGGCATTAAGAGCTGGACAGGAAGACAGGATGAAATTTTATACTGTTAGATACATTGTAGATGATCAACATGAAAGATGTTAACATAAGACCATAAGGGAGATCCAGATGGAGAAGCAAGGCTGAAAATAAACAGGATATCAACAAGAAATTTGAGCTCCAATGTTTATTGAAGCTTTGATATCTAGAGGAATCAATTTATGTTACATTTCAACAAGAATATGAGCAGAATTTGAAGTCTAAATAAAAAAAATATTCTACCAATGATGAAGTAGCCTCTGATAATGATGGGAAAGTGGAGAACATTGTGGGTGGAAATGATCAGGAGATGGAAGCACTCAATTCATATGAAACTTTGTTGGATGTTAGGAATTGGTTCAGAGGAAAATATGGCTTGAAAAGTGGAGGATGGTCTGGGGGCTACACCCCAATACAAATTATTTAGACCATGACCTTTAGATGGCAGGGATTGTTTCTCTTCTACAGACTACTTTGCAATTACTTTCAGGTTTTATGGGATAAAAATAAAATACTTTTTTAAGCTTCTTGAGAAAAAAGGAACAACTTTTAGTCTGAAATCATTTTTCCATTTCGGATATCAAGTTTCATGGAGAAGATACATAGGAAGTTATTTTCAAAATGATCTTCGACAAAAATACAAACAATTTTTTAAAAAAAAAGACTGCTGCGGCTTGAGTTTTTACAAAGTTATGGCGTGGGCGCGGCTGGAAGCTGTCATCTCCTGGTGGAAGTCCTTCCCTGCGCAGTAGAAGAAATGCCGACGAGGGAAGCGTACAATCAACTGATCTTCTTTATAAGAATCAACACCCACTCAAGATTAGAGGGTTCTTCCAGGTATTTTCGATTGCATTCTAAAGCACAGGCATTTGCTCCTAAAGCACATAACTTTAAACACAGGCAGGGGCATATACCTCAAATTTTATCAAACCGTCAAGACTAAATTATACAGGGTATTTGCAAGGAAAGAGGGCTTCGAGCACTAAACGCACCGCCCCTCCGCGAATCACGGGAAATAATCACTACCGGCGAGAAAAACAAAACCTTCATTCGGGTTTCCTTGAGAGCAAAACTGCAAAATAATCATAACACTAAATCATATGAAAAAATAAAACGTGCAAATACTAATGCAATACAATTACGGTGATTGGTGATGATGCCTTGGACAAAAGTTTACAAACTCACCAAATGAAATCCTTGCAGTGAGCGCAAAATGTTGGCTGTTTAAAGAATTTTGGCACAAATTTATGGTCTTTTATTTCATAAACATTCTTTTCTCTGATTGCCCCTCTTCTGTTAAATCCTTTAGGCTTCTCATCAGTTGACTTCGAACTTTTCTTTGAATTTTCCATCTTTCACTGAATGGTCTACTTCCCACTACAACCCTGAAGGAAGGCCTGTGTTCAAAAGCAGCGTCTGGAGAGATTATCTCGCGGCAACACGTATTGTCCCGCGCTCCACCTACATTCAAAATTCGTACCTTACGGGACTCAGGCACAGAATTATGAAAACTAAAACCAAGACAAATGAGTCAAACTCAACCAAAAGAAAATTTTTGGTGTGATTAGGGAAAAGAATTATACAAAATGTCTGGGTCTTGCGGATACCCTTTGATAACAGTTAATTATGAACAAATCTGTCTCAAGCTGAACTATGGACCGCACTAGCCCACTAGCAATCCTACCAAATTGGTTTCCAAGGGCGCCGGAGCCACGGGGGCAGCATGGGGGCAGCAAAGTTCCATTTTCATGAAATTGATTTCCAAGCAATATCAATTTATAGCAAGAGAAAAGTCAATATTTTCCATTTTGATGAGAACTGAAAATCGATTTGCCAAGCAATTTGACCACAAAAAGTAGCCCTACCCTAAGCTGAGTTGATAAAAATAGCCCTTGTGGGTCAAAGATACAGAGTACAAGGGCGTAGCTCCACCCCCCTAGTCAGGAAGGTCAAGCGACGCCACTGAGAAAGTGGTCTAATGATCGACAGTAATCTATTCTTGAATATGTCAATAGAAGGCGGTTGTCTGATTTCAGGGTCGAGTTTATTACATTCATGCAAACTATTGGGGAAAAAGCTTGACTTTTATTTTCAGTTCTTGCTTTAATGCATTGAATGCATCAAAAAGATTGAGCCCTAGGCCCTCTTCTGCGCATCCTCCTAGAGCGGAAATCATTATTTTTTTTCTAACTATGGTTGCTTGTGTTTTTATCAAGTTGTGTGGTATTGGTTTCTACATGTTTGTATCTTTGTTTCCATTGGCGGCAAGGTTTCGCGTGACTGCCTCTCTTACCGCAGTGAATGTCTTCCTATTTCGGTCTCTGGCTGGCCTTATCAATTTATATCCTTTCTTCTGCCTTGTGCTTGTGTGATACAAAAAGTACATGTCATCCTCGTGCATTGCTTTCAAGATCCTCATTGGTATACATTGTCTAGTTTTTCTTTTCGTTCTCTAGAATTTACTTTCTCTAGAATTGGTTCCTTAGGGGCTACCAAGTATTTTGGCGTGATCGCGTGATCTTCGTGTTTTCGATGCGTGAATTCGTGAAACAAATTTTTATTATGCTTAAATACGTGAGTAGACATTGGCGCGTGACCTGTGAATCAGCATTATGCGTGATTGCGTGAAAATGAGTGCTTCGAGCGAAATTCGAAATAGAGTGCTTTCGTTTTTACAAGCAGAAAGTCTTCGTTTCCAGTACCAGACCAGGTAAATGTCTCAATTATTCAGAGATTCCAATACCGATGGCTCTGCCAACAAGAAATTACTACCATTAGATAGTTACTAAAAAATTATGAAAACTTCTAGGGGGCGTGATCATTTCCAGTACCGTGCAAGCGTGATTTGCATTTATTTTACGCGTGTTTGCATGGTTCAGCCTGGATACCTGGCGACCCTTCCTAATAGGTTACTGGCAACCTGTGCTCAAGACCTCCACATTCATTAGGGGTCTAAGCTAGGTTACTGGAAGTATTTTGTATTAGTTTTGCGAAATATGAATTTTTAAATAACTAATGCACATATTCCCCATGCTTTGTTCACCATTTCGACTTACGGCCTCGTTTTGAAAATCACTCCAAACTTCGTGACTTTTTAAAGCTCAGATTAGGATTAGCAACCACAGTTTTTGTCTGGATAAATCTTTTAGTATTGTTTATGTTTGTAATACAGCTTTTGTGGCAGTGATTTTATGATGATATCAAGTTTTAAAAACTTATAAGGAATTTGACCGAAAAATGGTTCCGCTTGAATATTCCTGCCCTCACCCGCTTACGGCGGTCGAATCCTTTACAGAACTTTCTTCTTCAAGGTAGTCAATATCACCATCTTGGAAACTTTGAAGTCCAAACCTGGTACAAAATAAAAATTGAAATTTTACAGATTTTCAAGGACACAATTTTGCAAATGGTCGTTTTTTGTCAAAACACAAAAAAATTAAATACGGTCTTTCAGGTGATTCAGCTGGTAATAGGAATTTCGTATATTTCCAAAGCTCAACAGCTCTATGTTGCCTTCGGCAATATCTTTAATTGTTCAAAGACATTATTTATGGCCTCGTTCAATATAATGATAATTGATAACTGATAGCAAAGACTAGTGTCATCATCATGTATTGTTTTGTTTAATGTATACAGTGAGAGGCCATTGATGAAAACCAAAAACAAAGGAGGTCGAGGTGTGAGCCTTGTGGTACATCCTTGTTAATTTTCTCAGTTTAAGACACTTCTCAATTAACCTTAGAAATTCTTAACACTCGCATTGATTGTACCTGAACCAAACATGTTTCCGATGTCATATGCCGTTTAACTCGACTTATTTTCTGCACAGATTGTCGCAATTCACAGAGTCAAAAGCTTTTTCAGATCAATAAAAACCATGCCTACTTATTGTACTTGCCATTGTTTTCTCATCTAGCCTGCGAGAAAATTTGTCACTTGTTACAATGATATAGAAGCGGAAATTGGATATTCGAACAAAGCTGGTAGGGCAGGGAAATGCAGCGCCCAAAATATAGTGAAATTTTTGACATTAATGTCTAATTCAACAAAATGATTTCTGAAACTCGATAACAAGCTTTGTCAAAATAATAGACCAGCACCCCAACTTTGTCGCTAGCAAAAGTGTACTGTTCCTTGAAACGTAAAAGCATACCATACTTTTGAAATTTTCAATTCACTTTTTCTTTATATTGTTTTCCAATACACTTTCTCTATGGGAGCTCATAATGCAGTTCAAGAGCCCTACTATATCTAGACTACCTCCAACGTATATTGCCTTTGAATTTTTGAAGCAGGTGGCAGTTTTTTAGAAAGTCGTTTCTGGATTTTATACGTTCTATTTCCGCCTTGATATAGACACCACTTTAGAAGATATTTCAAATTTATTTTCTGCAAGCCATTTGTAGTAACCTAATTGACTATGCGCAGGAGCATTACTTCATGTGACCCATGTTTATATAGTTTCAGATTACAGTTGACAGTAATACAGTTATGTGTGTAGGCCGTTTGAAGTTAATATAAAGTTATCGTTCTGTTTCTGTTCAACCCATGCGTTGTTCTATCTCCTTCACATCTTAACACCATTGGTTGGTACTTGGCTAATGTAGCTTTCCTCTGATCTGATTAATTTGTCATACATATGATACATATTTATCATACACTACCTAAGGATTGTAAGTTGACTTTGATATGCAAATTTGTTACTCTTGTTTATTATATATATTTATCTTTATCAAAAGATGTTTCAAACCGATTCGTGTTCACATCTGTACAATTAAGGATCATAGAAGAGAAATATAACTTTTTCCTTCAAAACATTGAAACATGAACATTCAAAACAATGAAGTATGATTTGTAGTTTTTTGCTGCTTAAACGATCCGTTCATACAAATACATATCTAGAATAGATGGTAAAGTTCACTCAACATCTTTTATATCAGTCAAAGCTTTTGCTGACTTGAAAACTAGCCAAAGAATTTCATTTAACTGGAGTTTTAAGAGGTTTTCAGCATAAAATCGCATCATGACATACACTTTAATGAATTATTAACATCTCCAACAGAGTAAATACCATTCCTCATCGTATTCAAACGAGATAAAAATTCCATCCTGTCGAAAAATTTTGGGATATAAATCCCCCCACCTTGTTGATTTATATTTCTCTTTATTCTTTCGTGTTACTTAGATAATATTTAAGCTATCAGTCACTCTCATTGTGGCTGTGGAAGCTTGTTATTTGAGCTAAAATTCCTATTTCGGAGCAAACTGATCAGTTCCTCCTCTTATTTGATGATACATTTTGTAGTTGGAAAAGAAGAATGAATATTGGTTTGTCGAGAGTTGCGTAAAACAAAACTTTCATACATTTTCACTAACTTGTGTTTACCAAAAACGCGAACGTGATACTTGCGCGATACTCGCCTGAAAGCCTCATTTAAAATATAACAATGATGAATGCATTCAATAGAAACCCACATTTTAACCAACATTACCTCTAAAGCAATCATGTTGATTCGTGTCGTTCTGAAAGATGTGTACCTTTTAATTTACAAACATCTAAATTATTGTGCTCAAGTTCGTAAAATATCTTTACTGACATACATATATTGAAAAAATGGCTAGGAAGCTATCAATTAAGTAAGGTAGGAGCAATTTGAGTCTTTGACTGCTTGAGTTTCTGATTTTTTTATCATTGTGGGCTTGGGTTACTTGTGATTGCAACAGGGCAATGTATAGCAATATGTATGCCATAAAAATTCACTATCATCATTTACGCGCATCTATTTGCAACAGTATGTCGGTTTTGATAGAATTTAGTTAACGAATTAAACGTTTTCAAGACTTTTCTAAAATCATACTGACCCTTAACCCATAAATTCTCTCCGCAGCCCTAGGATTACCCTTATAATAGCTTTCCCTTCTGCTGAAAAACATGGCGTTTCATTGCCTTTGATTAATTAGTTAGTGTATTATTACTTATTTACTTCTTTATTCATCTTTTATTTTCTCTTTACCTGAAATGTGCATAACTTTTTCAAGTATTGATGTTGATTGATCGATTAACGGTGACTGATCAAACATATTCTCATTGGTACGAGTGTCAAATATAAAACTTTTCCAATGCTACTATTTCCAGCTCCCTCTATTACTATTTCAAGGCAAGTAGATAGGGCTTGCGATCATGGACTTTGCATAATCGTTGAATATGTTGAATTGCTACCTGCAGGACGGTTGTTAAGGGTGTATGGAATCCACTCCAAAAAATCTCTCTTCCAAAAACAATAATTTTGTGGTTCTTCTTCGGAGAATTATTAAACCTGTCGATAAAAAGGGCTTGGATACCCCTCTTAAGCACAATATTGACCTTCTTTGTACCTTGACACAAAAGATATGAAATGTAAAATAAATGTTCTGACTGGAGAG